TATGTTCTGTCTAATATACGTAAGTAAGTCGTACACAAAGTTGGTATACAATACGAATTGTTCAACAGTTATCATGGCTGTTCATAATATGTTATTTCAACAATGGCGCTAGAAACGTTTGCACAACCTGAGCTTGATTATTGTCATCGATTCTCTCTATCTGCAATACTCAACAGTTACCTAGCAGCATTAGCTTAGTGAGGTTGGTTTCCATAAAATGCATAAGTGTCATATGCGAGATGAGAAATAATCCGGTACTTATGAGTGGCAGTGGTATACCTGTAACAACGGTAATAAAGATATGGCAAGGAGCGGAGAGATTAGTATAAATTGCTACTTTGCTATCATCAAGCACAGCATTTTGTGCGGCCGGGACTTCATAGCAAGAAAGCTCGCTCAATGGGAAAACCAGAGCTCTATCTGCCTTAAGGAAGAAGTTTACGACGATATTACATAATTAAGAAAAAAGCCCTTTAAATAAAAACTATTGCCTTCTGTGGCCTGCTTGACACAACTGACATATTTACGAGGCTTATAAAACACCCAGTCTGTCTATGGTTCTTAAAAATTTCGTCAAACGACTGTAGGGATAATAATTTGAAATATCTTATTATAGCATTAGGTGTTCTTATATAACTAGTTCGACTTTTACCTTGGCTTCTTAGATTAGCAAAATCTTCATCAAAGAAGCTCGTAGTAAAGACAGTAACTGGCGAGCAACTTCAGAGTCATCCATATACAAATAATTTATTTAGACAATAATAATTAAAATATGGTTACAATGATTGCATTACGATGCCGATTATATGAAATCATGCAAAGTCGTAAGTTATGAGGAGCTTTCTGTTATTACTATCTTGTTTCACAAAAAATAGAAGGTTACACAAGCAGATGATGCCAATACGTTTATAATAACAAAAAATCATGATTTAATATTAATAGTAATAAATATATTAAAACAACCGCAAAATGCCCCCATTCTGTTGTATATAAATGATTGTAAGCTTGCTATTTAGTATGCCTTTGTTAAGTAGATTTAATGTCAGTAAAATTACAATTGTTATCCAGCTACGCATCAAGAATCCACTCGATTCGTTACTCCTACGTCTGTTATAAATAAATGATTAAGTGAATTCGCAGCAATATCACCAAAATGAACAGTTGTATGTGCCTTCGTTCATAGATATATTTGCTATACAGATTGAAGAACAAGGAGAAACTTTCCGTACACGTGCACTTTGATTAATGGTGGCAGCATTACAATTCATTATGGTTAAATGACTAAGAAAATTCAATTTCCAAAAAAAGCGACCTTACTTCTATAGGCTTCATGATGAACGTCATGAAGCCTATAGAAGTAAGGTATAGGCCTATAGGATTCCTCCATAAGCTATGAACTCCGACGAAAGCTTACGCATGCATGTGTGTAGAAGCCAAATTTAGGCTGGCAAGTTATGTGTTTTTCAAGCGTGGACTTCTTTAAGCTTCTTGCCTGCGACTCCCGTCCCTAAGGGCGCAGCTTCTACAACCTGTTTGGGGTCATGTAGTGTATTAATGCATAAACCTGCGTTTTCTTTCTGTCCAGGCCACCTAGTTTTGTGAGACGGTTGAATCTTACAGAAATGGTCCCCTCTTACTGCCTCCACGTCCTGAACGTTCAAAGTTCAGCATGTTTCTGTTCGATGCTGCTACTGGGTTGTTGCTGTCGACTAGTTTTAATGCTTGATTTTACGTCTTCACAGACACACTCTGTTCCTTCGTCTCGATTCTCTTGAGCATAAACTCTTACTGTTTTATAATACCTTTTGACACGGAGACACAATGATAGCTCGGTTGATATTCATCGTCCGTTGTATGCCTAACAGAAGTCTTAAGAATCAAAAGAGAATGTTCGAGCTAAGAGAAAGCGTCGTCGATATCACTGTAGCTGCACGCGGTAGTTCCATCTGTTATATTACAAAGGACCGTTAACAGTCGACAATTCCACTCACCCATTTCACCGACCAAAAACCAGCACCAACACATCGTCTGGTAATCTGCCTGCCTCACCTTGCAAGGAAGAAGTTAACGTATTGACAACTTAAATTCGGCAACTGACAGCTAATCAGACAATACTTTTGGCACCAATAGCCTGTAGAGGTAAACCAAAGATAGATAATGATATCTATCTGCTACAATGGTATGATAACGTTGCGTTTGGAAGATCGAGCTTTAATCCAAAAATTCACCCATAAAGGCAGACTTAATTTAGGTTCCGGTATTTCCCTATCTTTACTTCTGCCACTTCGTGTTAAAACATAGTTATAACTGGATTTCTTCTGCTCTTTCGGTTCCTACCTAAACCCGGGTTTTTCTGCACTTCCACAGCAGCAACTACTAGATATATCATTTTAGATAGAACGCAGAAAAGTAACGACGATGACACAGAGTCTCGCATCGTACAATTTACACTAGGAATGCGTGTGGCCAGGTTCAAAGCATATAGTCCTACATCCACACATGGTGACAAGCCCATTGGCGCTATTTGCCTGGAAATGCTCTGGGGTTATCATATAGCCTCAAATGCGTCTGAACAATCATTCATTATTCATAATGTAGGTCGAGCGGCATTAGTTCCGGTATTTTTATTGAAAGTAAGCGATAGTTTGTGTTAGACTGTTACACACGAATCGATCTTTGAAATCAAATAGTTTTTGAATTACGTGCCTCTAGAGGGCGAAATTTGGCTGCTAAATACTCCAACTTTATCACTTATATTCAAAACTTGTCAGTGGAGACCAGTTGAGTTTAATCCAGGAGAAACGAGTATAGGAGAAAAAAGTACCTTTCAGTCTCGAAAATCAGCGCTCAATGGTCAAGTTTTTGTTTCTTAAAGGCTGCAGAACTGTGGAAATTCATCCAAGATGGGTATAGACATGAGGCAAGAACGCCTCAAGCGAAAGCTCAGTATGTGTATGGCGTAAATGTTTGAACGGAGATTGATGTACTCTAGTGAGAAGATGACTAGCTGTCGGAACCTGAAGCACAAAAACACAGTGCGCGATCAAGAAAGCTTTTTGCGAAAGGAAAACTAAAATCTAAAAGTTTAGGGTCGTTGAACACTGCCATTTTATGTGTAACGTATTACAAAATTATAAACCAAATGCACAAAACTAAGTAAAAAATGGATTCTCTATAAACTGACTCCGGGTCAGTTGGAAATGTATGTAGTATATCTCATGTACAATTTGCAGAACTTTAAACAATAAAAACTCTGAAGCATATGGACGCCAAAGACAAGCGCCAACCGGCGGTAATCTCTACCGCCAGCTGTAAAGGGACCAAGCGAGAGAATGGCGTTGCGCTCGATGGAAATCGAGTTCAATGGTAGTATCGAGTAGGTTTAAATGTAAGTTGATGATAGTATTTGCAATGAATATAAGAGGCATCTGTTACTATGAGATACTTGCCGAAAGTAAAACAACGAATGCAGTCTTCTATCATGAGTAGCTCAAGAGAGTCAGAGACCGTTAATACGGAAATCGAACGTGCGCAATCTAGTTGCTTGATTACAACGCCAGGGCTCAATTACTTTTTAGATTAAACAAAGAGATGTCTTACGTTGGCCTAAACCCACTTATTTTCCCGATCTAAATTCGTGTGATTATGGGGCTTTCCATGTCCTAAGAAGGACAACTGACGGGCGAGCATTTTCCACGATCAATTTACTTCAAGAAGGCAAAGATAGGGGAATAAGATATAGGAACGAGAATAATAGATATATGGCGGTCGAGAACTTTGCCAAAGTGCTGGGTCAAGTGTGTAGAAAACAAAGAAGAATACCTTCAACACAGGTTAAAAAATAATCGTTCTGGCTCGATGTTCTAGCTAGTTCGAAACTTATTAAGTTCCAAGATTCATTTGTATAACGTAGCACATATGTAGGCTGAACGGTTTCGAAGCACCCAAAAATAAAAGTTGCCTAGCTTGCATAATATTGTCCTCATATGTATATATATCAAACCGATTTGATTTTCTGGAAGGTTTATATAATGTCCTAAAAAGTAACAGCAGAGAATATCAGATTAATACTATGATGTTTCTACATCGTCTGCTTTCTTAGTTCTCCGAATAGCCTAAAATATAGATATTGAAAGTCGACTCCAGCTCAACTCTGAGACGACGGAATAGCTCAACGGTGCAGGGGATTAACGGTAGTAGAGTGACGACAAAATCGCAATGGGTGGACGAGGTGGCTGAGACAGAAAGATGGGATAATTGCTAAAGGCCAGTACGACGCCTAGAATCCGGTAGTGCAGTAACTGAATTGGGGGAACAACAACAACAAAGTATTTAAGTTACTCAAATCATATAATCGAATAGCTTCAGTTGGATAATGGGCTAATTAAAGCAGGGAAACGGAATGACTCGAAAGAGAAGAGGAATAAGCAAAATCAAGTTATGGGAGAACAGCGATGAGGCACTCGCAAAGGAATAACAAGGGTAATGACAACAGGGCAAGGAACAGGCCAGCAGGAGAGCAGAACTAAAGTAATGTTGTCAGACGATTGACTATTAAACTTGTAAAACAATGGTAACGTGCAGTGCCTGTAAATATATGTGGTCACGTAACCGTGCTGCGTGTAAGTACTAAATTACCCAGTCAGAAGATTGAAATGTGCTTGAAATTTACCACTATATTATGAAACAATAAATATTTATGTAGTCAAAACTTTCTTATAGTTAAACTGACATTAATATCAGCAGCAGGCCACCTTTGCCACACGTCCTCGAAATTAATTTTTGAATTCGCAAATCTTTCCTGAACCAAAATGTTTTATCATAGAGTTTTTTTTCGCCTTGTTATATATATATACTGTTTGGAATATGGTGCACCATAAAGTGGTGTATTGGCGATCTTTTAGCTATAATTTGTGCTGTTAAATCTTAATTAGTTAGTTGCTACGTTAATTTAAATGCTACCATTTTAATGTTATATTTGATTTCATTGTCTATTGCAGCTTGCCAGTTTTACCCGCTAGGTGAAAATCGACGCTTCGAACGAGTGAGCGAAAACATTGGCGTGGGTAAGTACTCTTGACGTTGATATAAGAAAATAGGTACTATGCCGAATATAATTAAAAAAATCGAACTGCACCTACATGTCAAAGTCATGCTTTAGTATATAGGCCAGTTCTACATTGGCCTAGGCATACGCGTTTCCTTTAACTGACAGACGTCTTGCTGATTTAGTATTACAATCATATGAATTAATTATATTCTCTAAGTGCTTGCGAAAGAGCTTCGATTTCGAGGCAAAGTTAATGACAAGTTATTACGAATTGCTTCCGTGTTATTTTTCTTCAATGAAAAAGTCAATGCCAAGAAAAATATTTAGATTCGGTAGAACTTGGAATTATGTACTAGTTCTCCTTTCTAACAGATAGATTAATGCGTAAAGTAGATTTATTCCTTGGTATTGTGTCAAAAACACCGCTTTGGTATCCAACCATGATTAATAGCATTAGGTTGAGAATACACCCTAAATGTCTTTAAAGATTCCCTTTACCATTTACAAGCCTCAGCAAAGTGACCATTTATAAGCTTAGTACCCTTCAAACATAAAGCAATTATGAGAACCGTTTGTTATTAGTAAAAGTTTTTGTACATCGAAGCTGTTTAGAGGCATCTAAGCCTCGATTGGTACCGTTTTAATTCTATTAACTAATAACGTCAACCGATTTTATAAGTTTAAAAGTTAAATCGGTTGAAGTAAAGAGACGATCTTTAAAAGTCGTTTCCTTTTATTTGTAAAATTGACGAGCAAACAGCGAAGACATTCGGTAAACAGTCGATACACGCCAATTTCCTTTGCTTTTTTCACACTGATGCATTTGAAGTCAAATTTTTTTAGGGTTTGACTTCAAACATCATCATCCGTTTTACCGCTTTTCCGCATCTCGCGTTATACGTGTGCTCCCTCGCTTTCACACTTTTATCTTTTCTCTCAGTGTTTCGATCAATGTTTAGCTTGATTATGAGTTAAACCCTATACTTCCTTAGGGCTTTGGCGTAGCCACAAATATGAGGACACTCTTACCAACCCAGCAATTTCCTTTCGTCAACAAGAAACCCGTCACAGTTGCCGTCTGTGGCCGCGTCCACTGCTATCGGCAGCTTTCGTTACCTATACGACCAATTTTGAGCCGTTTATTTATTCCTGCTATCCCATACGCGGGTATATGTACGTATATTGAAATACATACATATGCACATATTCCATTCATGGGTTATATTCATAATTTCTTACTTCCAGTTCGCTAAGTTCCTTGCTTTTTTTTGGGAATGTAAGACCTTGTCACGCTGAATTCAGCTATATACGCAAAATGGTGTCAATGTCTACGGCTAATGGTATTCACTTGTTTTTAGGTTGCAAGCAAATAACGACGATAATGATACTAATCATAATAATAATAATAGTAATAACAAAAATATAACATTAACTGCTGGTATTGGCGTATGATATAACCTCAACTTTGGTTGGCCCACTTGAACAGACAGCCTTGCCCGAGTCGTCGGGTAGATGTTAAAGGTGGACATAATCTCTGTATTATCTACAAGTAGGGGCTTCGAGTGTAAAATAGATAAAGTAGATAATGGATTCTTTCAAGCAAAGAAGCACAGTCTATAGATTCAAAATCATTCAAAGTGTACCTCACAAAAGCATTACCTAAAACAATCTCAAAGAGGTGGTCAAAGAAGTGTAGGCTATATACTCGTCCAAGTTCAGCTGAACATTCTGACTAAAGTTTTAAGATGAGCTCTCATAACAAAACTTCATTAATATGTTTAATATATTTAGCATCGGTTAACTTCACGCGTAAATTTTCTCATTTAAAACTGGTTGCAGCATTAGTTTCATAGATTTTTTATTTTTTTGAGGAACCTAGTAGTATTATTGTTGAACTAAGCTACGTTTCGTATGCAGACTTGCTGGGTTTGTTACTAACTAACACATGTATTTAGCATAAAGTTCCCAACTAGTAGGAAGTGTTGGTGAGTTTGGAGCGAAGGGCGAGGTGCTAAGCGATACGATTACGAGTTAAACTCTATACTTTTTTAAAGTGTTGGTATAGCCACAAATACGGAGCCACTTTTAGCAAGCCAACAGCTTTCTTTCTTCTTTCATTCTGTGCACGACTCTCATCATGTATTTTGCTAATCTATGAACCAATTGATGTACCTATCTGTAAATATTGTAATTGGCTCCGTACAAGTGACCTTGTGATGAAGAACGCATTATTACGAAGATACCTGATTAAGATAACAAAAACATTGATTCATTGATTTAAAGCATATAATAGAAACGAAAAAAGCATAAACCGTGAAGCACGTAACATACAGGCTGTAACTCGTACTTCAACGTATATTAGGGCGAAACCTTAGTATAAAACATGTTAAATGCGTTCTCCTTAACGCTTTTTAATATATAACGTCCCAGTTAAATCGAGCAGTCTCAGTATTTTAGTGCGTCATAAATAAGCTATGAACGTCTTGTGCTGCATACAAAAAATTTGAAATTTAGCGGCGATTTTTCAGGTGCACATGGCGCATAGTTTACGAGGGTTTTAGGTACATTTTACATGCTACAAATTCAGAGAGACTTTCTCCAAAGAGAGACTCCTTCTATTATTTTTCACTGTTCTGTTTTTTACAACAGTTCTAGCCACGAAGCATCAGGCCGTATTCCATTCTTTCCAAGAAAGTATTTTTAGGGGACTATATCTGGCTTCTTTACTACTCCTTTCATTGTTGCTAGAGCTTTCATCCACAAGCATCTGCCAGGTAACGTAATCTAATGAGAATGACGTCCTGACGCTGTACTTTTTTGAAAGATGATCCGGTTAAGTCAGAAGTTTATTGTAGGATTCTACAATTCGTGATGACAAAGCGAATCTTTCGCGCTAATAAAGAAGTGGTTCAGATCAATCTAACACTGAATTTCAGAGTTCTGGATTTCTCAAGTTTCGCTAGCTTTCGATCTATTTCATGAAGTGCTCTTGAAAAGCATTCACACAAGTTTCAATATAATGCCATACGCACTCGCTGCTATTGCGTTTTTTGAGAATTTGAACAAGAAAGGTGTTGGTAAATAAGAGACGCTTTAAAGGAGTATCGCGCTATTTAGGATAGGAATCCTTGAAAAATGATCGAAGCAAGTAGTAATTACTTCGTTACGGATGCCTCTTTTGATGTATTAGAAGAATACTGAGATTGTACACTAAAGCCTATGGGCTACTCATTGAAATCATTCATTTGAGACTTATTTGACATTCTCCGCACTATTATACTCGTAACATAAGTAATGCAATTGTCATTTTTAAGGGAAATGGTATCATATGTATATGAAATATGTTTTTTTTTTTCGAATTAGCTGGCGTACGCTGTATATGTAGCTTTTCTAAAACATCAAGAAACGAACTTGTACAGCATATGTGTAGTAAACAGGATGTAATTGGCTCCATTTGCATTTATATATATATATATATATATATATATATATATATATATATATATATAAACTTTAAAGACTCACCAAGTACTGCATCTTCTTTTAGGTGAAGAGGTGTTTCGCGTAGAGGTCCATCCTCGATCGCAGCTTCGACTGGATGCGGTCGATAACTCTTTATCTGACATTAACTTCTTCGAAGTCTCAGACGTGGACGACAAAAGTGTCTCCATTAAAGTTTCTAAATCACTTGAAGATCTTGTGGACCGGGTAAGTTAGTAGCAATTACAGGCAGATTTCTCATTTCGCACGTCATGAGTTTGTTTATTAAGCAATATTAATGAAAAGGGAAGACAAATATAAGCTGGTTTGCGTTCAAATAATTAACTATAATTAGTCCGCAACTAGCGCACGACCTTGTTATTATCAATGTATATTCTCAGGCGAATGATAACATATCCGTATGTTTTGATTCCATCAAGCATACATAATGTTTTAACGGGTAGTTATAGCGACTAAGATGCCGTTATGCTGCAGTGGTAAATTAAATATACAGTGGAGTCGTGGCCAAGGAGTCTCGGCTATACCTTCTTCAAAAATTACCATTCTGTGGTGATGACGTTAAAAGATCCGTTGAAGCCCAGGCAACTCATGTTTAATACAAAGCTATAGACGATGTTCCGATCGTTTTATACGATAAAAAGTTCGCTCAATACATTGCCGACTTAAAAGTCGACTGACATTGACGATTTGAAACCCCGACAACAAAAAATATGACTGCTTAATAGAGAACTACTTATAAGAGAACTACTTACCTGTTTGCCGAACAGGTAATTCTAAAAATGCAATATTTAAAGCAAGCCGCGCACACGTCATTACTTAAGAACCGTAATTTACGTCAAGGTGGATAAACAACTTCGTGGATGATTGAAGAATTTATACTAGTCTTCTTCAGCATTCCAACGTTCTACTGTACTGTTTAGAAGATCACCGATTTCAATGGCTAGGTATATACAGTAGACTGTGAAAACCCAAATCTCTAAAATTATCTTTTAAAGCTAAGTTTGCAAACCATATCCACCTCGGACTTTCGTCCACGTGCTATTATATAATCTGAATATCGCTGCTCTAAACAGCAGATGCTCTTTGCCAGATGTGGTCTTAAAAGTGATAAATAGCATCAGCGAGGGCAAGTCACCTGGACGAAACGGCATACTCCCGTACAAACTGCTTAGAAGCGGTATACCGTTTATCCTAGTAATTACACAACAGCCTATATTCAATCAGAGTACTGGCACCCAATACGCTGCTTGAAAGGATAAATGTCTTTACTTGGAAAAGCGCAGCCGAAGACTTCTGGTACTTGTAGAACCGTAAGCTTTGAAAGATCTGATTATACTATTTTAGTGATGATACTGACCGCTAATTCTCAGAACACTCTTTATGAAGCAATAATAGCCCATTAAACATGCTTAACTGTCAGGTTTGCTTCGCAGATGACCATACAATTACAGTCAGAGACCTCTCTAGTCGATTGAAAATGATATCATTTGACAATATACCCCACTAATTTGCATTCAAGCCTCTTGAGCACGTGAAAATGATTCCTATGTCATAGAGATGAAGCCTCATGATATATAGAAAACCCTCTGTTATGCTCCTATTAAACAGTCAACTATGGACGTCATTTGCAGTACATTAAAGCATCTAGTAAGAATGCCCGTTTACACCTAAAATTTACTGGATATTGTCACGGCGGAGTAAATAACCAAGTACTTAATAGGTACCTCTTTGAGCCGCAGCATAAACCGCGGACGTTTATTTCTTCCTTAAAGACAAAGATCGTCTCTAAGAGTCATTTGCACTTTCTCAAGCTATACCAGTGTTCCAGGCGTTGCATTCAGCCCTCAAAAGTTGATGGGATCGTGGATTGGCCTATGGGCGAATTCGCAGCTAAGTTAACTGAGTATATCATGGTCAGTTAAGTCAGTTTTCTGTATTTATGCATAATGGAACTCGTTAGCGCGATGGACTCTGTGAGGTTCAAAGAGGAAATTGTTCATTTATTTACACCTGTCGTATGATACGTACCGTTGACAGAGAATATGATAATAATGAGGCATTCGTTTGCCATTCCTGCATGAACCTCAAAGCCGGATGTATGTCTCGTACAAACACATATGTTTTAATTAAAAAAAAATGGTGAATTCGGATTAATTACTTAAAAGCAAGACTCTCTTTTTATTTTGCAAAAAGATTACTACATCTATTAGAGCCAACACTATCGTAAACGTTTGTTTATGTGGAGTTTACTCTTTGGGATTTTATGATTTCTGAGCTTTTACAACGTCTATGTGACCCTTCAATATTCTGAGATAGTAAAACTATTTTTGCTGATTACAAATATAATAAGCTTGGGCAGACTCAAGTCAGTGAACCCAAAAAGCCGAAGAACGACACTAGTTGCCGTCCTTTAAACAAAAATTCTACGCCGACTATAATATAATCCCAACAATAATCTGCAAAAAATGCGCCAAATTATACAGATACGTACCCAGAGGAACAAACACCAGACATGTATCTCAACGTGTTTATGCCGTCTAAAATAGTGCCTTGTAGTTGAATTTGTGATTAGTTTATACGGTTAGACGGACTGTAACAAATAGCTGCGTAAATGTACATGCAAAATCGTACTTGCAAAAAAAATATCAATCCAACCAGACGATATACCGGTAGGTAGAGATGCAAAATGTTATTATCTAGTAGATGTTTTGACCCGTTAGCCAGTATACAATGCATAAATGGACCAAACAACTTGCTTAAATACATAATTCTCATTGTCATGAAAAGAAATTTTTCTAATGATTAAATAGCGATTATACATCTGTGCGTTTTTAAAGTGATTGATATTGTTCAATTTTTGTTTTTAAATATGTGCCTGTTTACCATTTATGTACAGTCTTAAAATATATGAACGAAATAATTTAATCAATGGCATTCCGTAATGTAATGTCTGCTACCCTTTCACTAACAGAGATAGAGAGCGTGTGGTCGAGGTAGCTTCAGCTCGGTCCATCAGAGGCTTCTTTGTCGGAGCCTAGGTGATCGTCGCGCATCATTGCGCACAACTCGAAAGGAGGTTATAGCAAATATAACCTACGCTAACTGATGGCTATGGTTCTAGTCAATTGCCTCACGAGTTCACGTACGGAACCATATGTATAGGGTTTAGCTCGAACGTACTGCGCCAATGAAATTTGGCTTCTGCAACAGCGACAAGTTTGAAAAAAGCATGTTTGGTACAAACATCGACTGTTTTGGATAAAACGGTGTACTCACACTAGTAGGAATATCTCTAGAACACTGCAGCATTATTCAAGTCAATGAAGCATACGTTCGTTTCAGCATGTAAATGACCTTTGCACTTCTCCATCAGAACGGTCATCTGTTTCCTGTTGACAGGGTCTAGATATAAATATATGAGAAAGCGCATCTGTAGCCTGGTTGAGACAGGACGGCGACCACCAACTCGGAACGTCAGTTCTGGTTAAACGAAGTTACGTCCTTCTTTCTGTTTTTTTATCTCTGTTGGTCGAAACACGCTTAGCGAGTTCTTCTCCGGCGCTGATAAAAAATGGAAGAGCAGAGTCCAATTATATGGTGACCCACGCTGCTTGCTCTGTAGTTCCTAGTTTTCTAGGCGTGCTTCCCACATAATGTTAGTTGTCTGATACGTAATCATGTAGGTATTTTGTCACCAAAAACATTAATATGGTTTATGAATAGAGGTAGATAATTGCTAGATATCCACTATAGTATGCTAGCCTAAGTCGAACCAGTTACTCAGCTAGACTAAAAACAGGAGAGGTGACGGGTTCGTACCGGAAGTAAGCTTTCTATACCGGGTGGTCATCAGCTAAAAATGGATGCATAGCTTCTCTACAGTGACGAAAGGTGTATACTCATACAAAGGATTCTGCATTACTTTTTTGTATATAAGTAATTATTATGTATATTCTGTAATAAAGAAATACTTCAAGTTGACATTTGTTTATTAAATCTGAAGAAAATCTCTGTTAAGTCTTGAAAACCGTCTGTGACTTCTTTATTTCTGTGACTTTTCAGCCCGATCCTCAAAGCGTGCTCAAATTTAAGCTGACGTGCAAGGGTTCATCTGGTTCTGAAGAAGCTTTTTTACCTGTGACTGTCTATGTTCAGGATGTCAACGACCATGCACCGGAATTCCAAAATACGCCATACCATCTTGAAGTTGATGAGGTTAGTGTCATTCACAATATATAATGATATTTACGACGTATATGGTATAACACGTAAGTTCGATTTTTTGTGTCACGCTTTATGGTTTGTGTTCGGTAAATGAGATACGCCTTATACAATTCCAGTTAATAGACTGCTTTCTTCGGGAAATTTCTATCAAGTAGTTTCAAGGCTTAAATGCGTCGCCGGGCGTTTGGCCTAGAACGTGCAATGCTCAGATGCACTGATGAGGATTGGCAATGCTCGACAAAGCGCTGAAGTGAAGGGGTAGCATATGATTTTGCTGTGCTTCTATATTGAAACTTCACTCCGTTACTGGATTGCCGCTCAAATAATAATACCGTAGCGTTGTCTTGGATTATTTGTGTGGACCGTACGTGATCCATAGTATACATTATTCTAAAAGACATTGCATTAACACATCAAAATTATGGCGCCGTGCTCTGGGTAACTAATACGCATCGCGTTGCGAACGGCTATGATGGCGAAAAATCATTAAGAAGTATTAATTATCAGGAATATAGTAAGGTACTTATGTTATTAATGAAACATGCAAATTTAAATAACAAATGGGTTCTGCATATATTATGAAAGGCCCGATAAATATTTTTAATAGCCTGAAGGGGTCTTTTGTAATAAGCGATCGTAAAATCCAATTAAAAGGGAGTATTGCTTCGTGTAGTTTAGGGTAACTGTTGTGGCAACTTTTAGAAGTTACAAATAGATATTCCTGTTTATGGGTTGCGTCCACCGATGAAGTAAACATGATTGGGATTTCTGTCTGTGAAACGATGGATTTTTTCAACCGACAATTTCAACTCTAATCTGTTCATACATTCAGAATAGTTGCCTGGAATACATTGCAACATCAAGACACTGCAGTCTTTGCCATTTCGTACATATATCTTTACAACATCTGTGTAGCTTTTTATAAATACTAATAGGTGTAATGTATACGCATTTGAATGTATATACAAACTAAAGGCGAAAGGTTTCAGTATTGCATCCTGAGGAAAACCTGAGGTTGCTCTATTACTAACTTTGATTGATTGCGGTATGGAAGCACGTGAACTTTGGGGTCGGTTCTGTTAGTCGATCACTGGGAAACATCTTAAAGTTAGGAATCACCACCGCATCGAAACACTGAGCCATGTAGACGTAAACTTAGTTCACTTAAATTGTGTTTTTAATAGCTGCAGATTAGTGCTTCGATCCGGTCCATAGGCCGACTAAGCCGTAGGTATAGATCCTTGCTTGTTAGCGTCTTTCTGCATGGCCATATTAATAGGATCGGAAACAAGTTGTATCGGCTTATGATCGGCACCGAAAATATGAAATATTAGTTTTTTTCCCACTTAATCTTGGTATGTTTAGCGTTTTCCAGTCGATAGGCGACAGGTTTAGATCACCCGAAATAATTATAGTATCGTCATATTTCATTATTGTTTTTAGTCCATGGGTTAGTGTGACCAAGAGGCCTATAAGGTCAGTAGCTGTGCCTGAAGGCGATAAGTAGGCTGGCACGAGTCGTATTATCCTGTGTTGATCTACGCAAAAACCTCGGATGAGAAGAATTTTATTATTAATTTTAGAATACAGAATTCCATCTTCATACGTACATAATTACTATATTACGCGATATTTGGTTTTCGCCGGGATTAGGTCAGCGTAGCTTAATTTAGCTGAAGCTACCTGTTCTATAGAGAGTCATCGTTCTGTTATCTTAACTATGTCCATGTTTTAGTCTCGGGTATTAATGTCCCATTTTTACAATTTTTTTAAACAAATGCAATTCACATTTATCTTCGAGGAACATGTAGTTCGTCACACCAGATTAATTTTAAACTATGAATCGTTCCTCAAAGAAAGATCCTAAAGCCGAATTTTTACGTAGAATTTTACGATAGTAGGAAAATTCAAGCGTATCAACGTAGAATCGATTATCACTGCTGTAAATGTTCATTTTCTTAACTGCTATGGGAAGCCTTCTATCTTAGCGTTCGCACCGATGCGCTAGGAAACATCTTTCTTTCTGAAAAAGGACTCCGCACGTTTATTTTTACTTTTACATATGGCGGCTGTGTCTCTATTTGTGGTAGCTTCTTATGTCACTAGTTCATAAGGCACTCTTTTATTGTTCATTTGGTGCAGCTTGCGCTGGCAGTCCGATGTAACTATAGTACGACCTAGACTTCTCGTTCGTCCCAAATGAGTGCTAAACAGAAATAGCGATGCGATAGGGCTAGAATAAAAAGCTTAGGCACTTCCAAAAGCTCCAACGAGGGAGTTTGTGTGATCGGATCAAATAGGAGCTGCTATGGCAGCCATCGCTGCTGGCTAGAAATGTGTTATAGCTATTTTTTTAATTCCCTCCTTCCTGTCCTTAGTTGCTAGAATGGTGATTTTTTAAATATTTCTATACAGCTAACCGAGTGCTCTAGCAGCTTCTATAAAACTCTATATTTAACATATGTTTTCTATATTTGGTCTCTTGAGGTAACTCGACGGTGAGGCATACCTGGCATAGACAGTTCCGTGACCACATCAAGTTAGATCGACAGAATAAGCAAGTTGAAGCCAAAGTTAGATACTCTTTTACTCAGTCCAGGACATCACTGAGGCATAGCAGATGAAGGTCTAGCGTTGTCGTCAAATTTTAGAGTGTTATGCACACAGTCCATAAGTCTCTTGAAAAACTCATCAGACTCATTTTCGGCGAGTATCTTATTGTAGCAGATGACCTTGATAACTACTACAAGTACTCCTACTCCGTTCGAGCCTACTCGGCACCAAACTCGTTCTTTCCCTTGATGCCTCTCCTCTTGGCGGTATAGATTGAACCTTACTTGGTCTGATTTTTTGTTGATCAGAGTTCGTAAAATTGCACGTGGACTAGACCGCATGCATTTCTGACTGGCCTGGAGTCAATTCACAAGGGACCCATTTTTCACTCGGATTCCCTATTTCCAATATTTCAATTATAATTTTGTAATATGTTACATGCAAGGTACCAGTTTTGGCAGATAAAACCCTTAGACTGCAAATTGTTCTTCGGGAACAGCCCTCTCGATTGCGGCCGTATCCTCTTATTTTTCGAACTTCAACGTTTGGTCAGCATTTTAATGCTTTTCGAAACTCCAGGAAACATTAGTAACGTAATATGCTTTTGCTTAGGGTCTCGTTGCCCGACGTCTCTACCGATTTTGGAAAATTTCCGCAACGCTGTGTCCTTCAAGGAATAAAAATTTTACCTTCGAACGTTGACCTTTTCAATACTAAAAGGTACCTTTCTCCAAAACTCTTTTCTTGTGGAATAAACTCAACCGATTTATACTCTGAAGTTTGGAACATAAGGGAGGAAGTTGAAGTATTCATCAGCTAAGTCTCGTTTGCGAGCGGGACGTGCTAAAAATGATTGAATTCCAACGTCCACCGGATTCACCTGTAACAGAAGTTCCTCTATTTTATCGTATTTGTATTTAATTCTTATTTCTTTTATTTTCCTTCCTTATCTTTTTTTTTTTATTTTGTTTCGTTTGTACTGCATCTTCCTCGCTTTTTTGTATAACATACAATCCTAGTTCGTGCAAATTTTCTTGCCAAGAACTAGAATTCCATTTGGACTTAGTGCGAAAACGAAAGGTGTGTGATTATACTATAGACTTTTAGGTAGATGCGAAATAGCACACGATAATATTAAAGCTGACGGCACAAGTCTTAAAATTTCAAAACCAGGCCTCTTGAAATAAAAGAAATTGAGTGCCTCTATTTAATTTGTGAATATCTTTCTGTTGAAATTTTCCGTAGTTGGACATTCAATAACAGAGCATGTGTACTTCAACCACAAATAGTGTCTGCAAAATGTATTCTCGGTTCAGGTATTCCATTGGTATTGCTAAATCAATCGCTAACGATAGAGTTGTCCTAACAATAGTCTAATTATCAAAATTTGACTCAAACTAAATCCGTGAGCCTTGTTATAGGCCGGAGAGCTCTACATATGTGACTAGATATATCTTATGCGGTTGCGATGGTGGTAAGCCTGTAAACGGACTTCGTTGATAGCTGTTAGATCACATCCGTTACGTGGCGGAACGTATCGGATTGGGTGCCTATGGAACCGAGCGAGCATCTTTTAAAGACTCCAAAGCCGAAATCTGTAGGTCACCCCAAGCCAAGACTCGGCCAAAATCTATGAGCTACTGTGCGGCTTCTAGAGTATTTGAATTGGCTGCATATCTACCGCTCAAGCATACCTGCCGGGTCATTTTTCCTAGCTTACCTTAAACTTTTTCAGCCATCAAAAACACTTTGGATATAGACCTAGATAGAGAGCTTACTGAAGCAGTCGGGCCATTCACAGCTCAGGACAAAGGTTGTTGTCATTGCAATCAGGCCCGAGATAAATAAAGGTAGACTACGACTACTGATGGTCACCAAAAGGCAACTGGTCAATAAAAATTACTTCAGAAAGAATAAAATAGAACTTATATGCCGCGGACTTCTACATCCAATAGATCCAACAGAGATCAAGATGCAGCAAAAGCTGAAAGCTAATATTCTTTAAAAAGCTTTATTAAGACAAAGTCATCAAAGGAATAAGATCACAAAATCTCTATGATAAAGGACGGCGGTTTATTACTTGAGCGTTTATGTATATACATTCAAGCGTGTTATAAGAACAGTAGTTTAGCTTAATGCGAAGCAAGAAAACCTTACCGTTGATAAATAGTCTGCCCATCGCCCTCGGCTGTTTACTATGATAGGTTCTTCAATGTATACCTTACATACACAAACCAACTTCTAGTCGTATTACCTTCGAGCATTAAAACGACAGTTTACGCGGCGACATCGAGATATAATGTTGTTATTGGAAAAATAATTATCGAGGTATGTAGCAACCACTAGATGCCGCTTTTGAGTGACGACATATTAAGCTGTCGATTCATAAGTGCACCGTATTTCTATTCACAGGTAGTAATTATGAGAAAAATTAAGGCTAAAGAGACGGCACGGGACAATCAAATTCGAGATTTAGAAATCATAAGGAGTTAATTATTCTAATTCAGTGCAATTGCACGTTTTCTAAATAAAAAAAAATGGCACCCTCAACTTGATCCAGATTATCGGTTCAAATATCGAAGACAAGCGCGCTTCTCAACCTATTGCTGCTTCCCGAGCTATATCTCTTTTTATACACTACATTATTTACAGAATGGAACAGTCAAATAATATTCGTTTAATAGCATCTATAAAGCAGAACCCTTCGTAGCAAAAAAGTGTCCCTCATCAACAAGCGAAGCGAGGTTAAAGTGGACGTAAAGGTGAGGCGCGTTCGGTCGTCCGTGCTACAGCGGAGAAAAAATGACTTTTTAAGATATAACTGCCTTACCTGCTCCTGAACAGGCTTCCGGTACATACTTTTCAAGTCACTTTCGAGTGGATGTGTTTGAACGATGCTTTGTAAATGGCATTGAATGGTTCTGATTTGCCGTGAAGCAAATCTTTCTGTACAGCGATTGTTATTGTCTAGACAAAGCCAATACAGGGCGGAACTAGGAGAACCGAATTGTTGAACGGACTAAAATCTAGTGGAGTTTGCTTACGGTGCGCCCGTAAGTTTTGTGGTCGCATCAGTCGGTGCTTATCCTCGAGGCCTGACTTAAAGCTTCTAGATTTTTCCACTTCTATGTCCCCAGCCCTTTGCAGTCGGTTAATCAAGGGGCAGTGGTGGTCGCCCGAGTAGCAGGGCCGAAGAGAGAACTGAAATATCCCGGCGAGTGCGCTGTCAGACACAGGCCTTCACCCCGACCTGGTTTCAGTAAGAGGGTTCCTTTTGTCTGTTCAGTTTCCCGCTCCCTTGGTCGTTCCATCAGAAACGTGGAAGGCCATTCCACCCATGCGTCTGTATTCGCTGGCGGTCGATACCACAGTTCTTACTCCTCTAGTTGTTAACTGCCAACGCCACAATCTAACAGTTCATACGCATTCAACACAAACCACCCGCACTTACTCCACAACAGGCCCATGACAACAGCACTACGTTTGTACGTGCGCTTTCGTACGTTTCAATGCCTCTACATACAGAGTTCCTTTCAACACGCCATTACCCCAAACCTTTGCTGTCTTCAAATCTATTCCCTCTATCAGCTCGTTCTAACATTAGTCGGCCTGGCTGGTGGGGGATAATAGTCTGTACAAACAGCAGCAGCGCCAGCAGCACTGGAGATTGTTTTGGCCTATTGAGACCAGGAGAACCACAGCACAATGACCGATCCCAGCAGGGTTCGCCATCTCGCCACGTAATGCGGAATGCTGTTATCATGCTTGCCGTCTTCAACGCAATCGCATTGTCTCATTGATTTTTATTTCACGTCAATGCAGCAAACCTAAGTCGCAACTTTTATATCAGACTACTTATTTTATGCTTCGGCTTTTTGAACACTACATTTCTGAAAATTATGATATTTGTTTTTTGAGAGCTATCGTTGTTGCCTTGCTTGATTTGGGGTTCATCTTTTTTCCACCCGTACAGTCTGTCTGTGTCCATCAGTCACTTGCACTAGACTACAACTTGTTTACGTGATCTCTGGGAGGCCCTCGAGTGCCGTTTAAGAAAGGCAGAAGTAACGGTTCATGCTACTGCGCTAGAACAGCATCGAGTTATGTCGTCTGACAGGGCGAAAATAAGAATTTTGTAGGATCGCAGTTAGCGCTGATAGATAAAAGGAAACAATATGGCACTTTTATTTTATATATATTATATATATATATATATATATAATCATCGCACCTAGTTCAAAGATACCTGCGTTGTACTTCAGGCTTACGAATTTAGAGTAATGATCGTATATTACAGACCGAATGAGCCACTCTAATACCATCGTGGTCGTATAGATCTAACTCTTATTGTTGTTCTCTTAATTTTAACTACTGCCTGGTAATGGGCACCTAACTCTAAAAGACTAGTATAAATTCCAATCATGTTGAATCTTGGCAAGATTATAATGAACAAATCCGTAACGGATACCATTTGATGGTTCCCAATTGCGTTTGCAGCTAGTAGACATTTGGATCAACCAACACATAGTACTTACCTATCGTCAGCAAAACGGCTTAGCCCAAAACTATTGCATAGTGTTACACCTAACGAAGAACTATAACAAGAAATGGGTGCGCTACGTGTTATGTACTCGCCGTTGTCCTTTACTTTGTAACCTAACGAAAACCTGACGGCTTAGAATAGATGTGGTAGGGCCTCCCATAGCCTTCTAGTAACTGCAAAAAATTTCTGCAAATGATGCAGAAACATAAACATGACCATAACAAATACTAAAATAGTTAGATATGGGTAACAGCGCAGAAAAATTGTGCGTCAGTTTAATCCATACAGGAGAGAATCCCATCTTCTAAGGCCACACCGAAGAAGAGAACATACACGGATAAGGAAGCTGCTGCACAATTTGTGCGATTAAAGAAAGTTGTTAAAAGATAACCGATCCTTTAGAGGCAAACGACTGTGCCGCAGAAATAACCGAGTTCTTACATGCACTGTATCTTGCAGCTTTATACAAGTGCATAACTTCAGCTGAAAATATAGAGTGCTTTATCCCTTAGAAGAGGCAAATTGTCATGGTTTAAAGAGATCATTTGATAAGCATCGTGCGACCTGATACAAAGGTACCCAGACACGCTGCAAACGGCAAGATACCTGTGAGAACCAGAAAAAAAACCTAAAGATACATGACAGCACATGTTACAGACAGAGCTATGACTTCAATAGAACGCTGCAAAACAATTTCAGGAACTGGTAGATTATTTCATAGAGATGATAGTATTTAATCAGATTCAACTTAAGTAGACGTCTAGGTACTACCGTATGCACGTACGTACACAAATTCGATTCATTCGCTCACCACCTCGCCGACGAACAGCAATAATATTTAGGATTGGTACGTGCCGTATATATACATACATATACCACAATAATACATATATATCTATACACTTTGCCAAGTTAGACTTTATATATAGATAAGCATATATAGTATGTAGTGTTTGACGAGAGAAATCCGTGTGAAAATGGCATCACTACGAAAAATATAAATTGCGCGAACAGTATAATAATCCCTCCATAAATATTAAAAGAAACGCGCCTCCTTGTTGTAAACAATAAAGTTGTGAAAGCCATTTATTTCGAATATAAGCTTTAAAAAAGATACTACTGTTTTGGGTGTTGATAAAAACATTTGTCTCGTTTTTTTACAGCTAACTCCTGTGGGTCTGACGATATTCCGTGGGATTCACGCCATCGATCGTGATAAGCCTAACACGCCGAATTCAGATATCACCTACTCTATTGTGGTATGTGAAATTTATTGTAAAATAGATGATTCTACGTTACCTACCTATATATCAATGAGAAGCCGATTGGGTTGATCTCAGATTGATTTCACAGGGTGTAAGTCAGTACTGGAAGTGGAAGACTTAATCGTCAAATTATTGTCGTAAAGGTAACATTAGTGAAAAGTTATTTAAGCAGCGAAATTATCATTCTCCTCTGCTAATATGCTGACGCCTTATGATAGGGCGAGCTCATTTCCGAATAATCTATAAGGCCTTATAAACTGAATGAGCCTTCGACTTTACCGAGCAGTCACCGGGCGGCAAGTGCACGATGCGTGGATTTATACGGCATCCTTAAAATGAACTGCGCCCAGCTTAATCCGCTATTTCTAAATCAGCTCAGTTCAATGTAGCTTATAAATCTAACGCGGAGCCTGGCAAGAGTGACATCTGATAAAATGTATGTCTTTTGTGATAGCAAAATGGCAATAATAGGGTCAGGGATGATAGCTAGCAACGCTACGATGATGTTGACACTCCAGATCGGCCAACTGTGAATATTTTAGTTCAATATAGATGTTGAATTCATTAATGATTGAATAGATGCTAAACGTCCTTCTTTGGGTCCACCTTTAGGTCTTTTATATACTGTAGAAGTGAGAAGAAAGAGCCCTATGATTCTTCCGGCATAACTAGTTGGCGTCTCTTGGTTAGTAGGCCTTTTGTCTTCTCTAATTACCTTTTAACACCGTTGGTAACTTAACAGCAGCCGCGCTAGCATGTACACAGCTACATATCTGTCTACGTGGGCACGAGAGAATCTAACCACATAGCTGGGAAGAACTCATTGCTAGTTATTCTTATCTTTTTCACTAACTGTGACGTTCTGCTGCGTGGTCGCTTCTGTATACCTTGATCCATACATGACATCGGATCGCTTGGAGGAAACCAAGGATGTTGATCGAATGACTATAATAGTATGTATACCGGAAGAACAGGACGAATGGCGGAAGACATTTTCCCACGTTCTTCACGAGAAGTGGGTGGGCGCCATTGTTCTCCATACGAGAGCTAGTAGAACCTCAGAGTTGACATCTGTGATGTCAGCAAGGTAGGAGAGGGTTCCCTATTCATTAGCACCATCTGATCTTTCCCTCCCATCATCAGCATTATCATAAGATGTAGTATCTAGATAGTCAGGAAGCGCTATTTTCTTTCATACGAAGTAGTAACTAGAAAATCTGAATGCGGCATGGTCTGGATGACCATCGTATAGTTAAACTCTTATACACACCCTGCACTTAATAACATCTGGCGATTGCATAGTATTGTAAATGGCTAACGTAGCAACAGTCGCGATGTTGATTTACCAATCTGAACATTGCCGGATATGACGCAGTGGCAACGTAGTCGTCCATCACAAGGGAAACTGTTGCTAAAGAGCAGTATTTGAAGTCAAATCGTGTACAATAAACGTATTTAAAATGAGCAGGGCGTAGATGGAGTAAAATTATGTACGCTGAAAACACTGTTACCTAAGGTTACTCTCTTCGCTAATAAAAGAAATTCTCGAAATACACTCCTGTTAAAACAGTTTGACACTTTGTGCAATTATCACTGAATATTAAAATCATTAGTCATTTAAATTACGTTTTTTAGTAACAATGGCTCAGTGAACTAGTGAAGAAATTATATACACACGACGGCAAAGATGTTACTTCTCAAAGAAACATGAACTCGGCTCATTTTTTCTACTTACTAGCTCGTTGGTTTATATTGTAAGAATCTATCGACAAAGCGTAACACGCGGACTTGACTGCGTTCGCTCTCGATTTTTTTTTCAGGGAGGTAATGACAATGCCTCGTTCGCGCTCTCTGACCCTCTTGAAGGAGTTGTGGTTATCAACAAACCGTTGGATTATGACCATGGCACTCGAGTGTATAAATTACAGATCCAAGCACGGGTAACGTTAAGAAATACTAACCTCTTATTAGCGAAAATGATCCGAAATAGGAATTCTAACATCGAAATATACTTTATAAATATTACCATATTTATAAGATGTAGTTTTTCTTTTTTTTATTAGAAACGATAAGTCGGACGATATACGGAGGCTTGGAAGTTACGAATAAAGTCATAACTTCGAAGCCTCCTAATTCTGTAAAATCATGAAGTACCTTACTGGGGGAATTTCTAACATCTATGTAGGAAGTGTATGCACACGTTACAAGCTGAACGTTGAATTACAACATCGCAAATATCTGGTGTGTAAATAAGTTAATAAGCGTAAGTCATCTGCCTTGTACTCGGGCTTATATATCGTATGAACTCTTTATACTTTAAATTTGACCCGAAGATACGCAAGAAATTTGAGTGAACTGAATTGCAGCATATCTAGAGACACAGTCTGCTAAGAGAGACTGACTCTTTTAGGCTATAGTTTGTACCTAGCTAATGAAATCTTACATATTGTGTAGAGAAAGTTCTCTCAGATTCAATTTTCCGTGATCTTACAGGATCACGGTTCTCCGGAGAGTTTTCAAACCAATACGGAGCTCACTATCCGAGTAAAAGATGCAGATGATCAGAATCCTGTATTTACCAAACCCGTCTATCATGCTAATATCACCGAATCCGCACAGTTTACTGTAAGTATTATGGATAGAGGTCATGCAAATCTAGCCAACGTCAGAGTTCAGTGGCAATCTGACACTTTGCCCAGCAGTTCAGAGACCCAGAATTGAAGTACGTCTAATCACAAGTTGTTGTAATTACACTTAACGCAGCAGTATAAAGCGTAGGACCCGACAATTATATGTTAGCTACTTGTTTTAGCATGAAGCTGTTATCAGCTGTTCTTGTAATAACACGATCTTTTCACTCGATATGATTAGCTGAACGATAGTAAACACTAGGTCGTCATAGCAACTATTTATAGATATCCCTAATCTATATTGCAGAATTCTTGTGACAATTGTAAACCGATTCAGTAAGAGGGCCACGGTACCTTGATTTGTATTTTCAGGGTGGTCGTTTACGAAACCGAGTGAAGACAGATGCTCAGGTTCATGCTTTTGATCAGGATCTCGGAATAAACACACCATTACGATATTCGATTATTCATGGTTAGTAGTGACCTTAGTAGGTAATAATACACTTTTGATATTGTCCTAGTGCATTACCTTCCATTACCTCGTACCTCTTACGCTTATCTTGGCGTCCGCTTACTTAATTAACACAACAACTATAATTTATAGATTTTTAATTGATATCGGATACGAAAACAGGATATGATACTTTAAAGTACTTAGTTCGCCAAAAGTGAGCAACTCGGCTTGTAAGCCAACGTTCGGTACCGAATTAGACTCCGAGCACTCATATGCGCCACAAAAGATTATTAATATAGATTCTCGGACAGGTTGACTTATATGGGTAAACCGAAAGGCTGTGTATTTTACTGGATAGATAATTCTATTCTGAGCAATTGCTGGCAGCTGCTAACGGAAATATATTCATATATTATATATGTATACGTCGTATATAACGGAAATATACAGAATAATTTGTGTGTGACATTTATCAGACTTAGAATTCGATAAGATACAACATTGCGTCTTAACAGCTCCGTAAAACGTACGTCTGATCATATAAGCCAACATACAAGAGATTCACATCAGTACGTCTCCCTAAATAGTTAATATCTCGGCATATAGAAGCATAAGTGGATTCAATTTTAGGCAGCTTTTTATCGGGTACTCCAACGATTCGTCGTAGATTTTTCAGCTTAGACGTTACTAATCACGTCGTAATAAATCCGCTTTGAAAGGAATTGTGGCTTGGACTTTGGCTACAAAAGAAAAAAAAAATGAAAATGGTCGTGAAGTCGTAAAACGCTTGATACTAAACATTCTTCTTAAAACAGCCTATGCCGATTATGTAACCTCATACGTATGTAATGATATCATTTAGATACTAGGACAATTCCCCTATAGCAGGTAGTCGGGTTACAAAGGCTCGAATAGATTATGCGAAGTTAAAACTCTATCTCTCTTTAGACTGACTAGGTCTACCGTTTGTCTACTTTCGAGTTGCCATATGTCGGAGGAACAACGTGCAAAAAACGACGGTATGCGCTAGAACATTATTAAATTAGTCTTCAATGCTGGAATTACAGCTTCGGTGAACCATTCAGAAAAATGCGTCTGGAAAATGCTGAAAAAAGATAAAATCGGCTTAGCTACACTTTAGACCAATGTTGAACGACTAAAATATCATGTTAGCATATATTTGGTGTAATCGTTAGGGTAACCGTGACTTTAGAATGTTCGACAACGTCGCTTTACGTTCTTTCTGGGTAATAGAGCCTTATTTTCCAGAGTTTAGGCAACAGTCGTGTATGCAAAATGTGCTTTAGGATCGGGCCATCATTTTCAGCACAATTTAGAATGAACAGAAAAGCGAAAACAAAACTACAAATTAGACATTCAATTTGAAAGGCATCAAAAATTTATTAAGCTTGCCATATTGATTATAATAAGTTGTGAAAAATGTAAACTGCTACACGTTCGTAGCAGTTTTCTGTTCTGACAAAAAAAAAAAAACTGTATGTCTAGCACTTCTGGATTCTTTACAAGCTTCTTATTAAAAAAACGCATAGTTGCGACGACGCAAATTGTGTGTCGGATTGGATATTGAATAAGGACTTTTCTTCGAAACTGCTCCCGGCTGCTCCCGGCTGCTCAGGGTACAAATCTGGATTTGTGCTACGAACTGCTCTCCGAGCGGCCCCAAGAAACGAATAATAAATTCCATAAGAAAATTCAGCCCAGCAGCTCCAAAAGGTCTTTGCACAGCTATGTATGCGTCATTGGGCTATTTTGAAATCGGCGGTTTGCACTAGGGAAAGGCCTAACGTCAGGAAAATGGATGCCATATAAACTCAGTACTGTTGCCTTCGCCAATCGCTTGCACATATGCATGACATTGTTTGTACAGCAGAAAAAAAAAATAATTTTTCCGTAAAATCGGTACCGAAGATGAGGAGAAATGTTCTACGAAATCTTAAGCGCAAGAAGAATAGGTGAACCCTAAGCAATTTTCCATAAAGACACTCCAGATGATCTCCAGGAAGGCAACATTTTATTTATTAAACTATGCTTTTTTGCGGTTACTTCAGGCAATGAACTTGGAATCTTCGAGCTGCACGAACAGACGGCAGAGCTGTTTATGGTCCGGGAAGTTGATTTGGAAGCTCTACCATCTCCTACAATTACCTTACAGTTACAGGTAAGGGACGGTCCAGGACGGACGCATATGTTATCGGATACTGGACTAAAAGTTCGATCCAAATTAATCACATTGTTCTGATTTTAAGGAACCGCTTAAAAATATTTATATAAAACGCGTTTCATAGTGTAAATATGTTATTGTTATGTTTTTTAAATATATTTATGAATATACAGTAATGGAATACTAATCATAACGTTGCGGAAATGTTTTATGGTCATATCGGTCTAATTTGTATTTGTGTGCCCGAACTGTGTCGAGCGCAGCTTATGTATATATACATATTTTAATATCCAGTATTTTAGTAATTTAGTACCAGTAAATTCATTGTGGCATAAGGTACGTCATGTAAGCCATACAAATGGAATATACAGCTTTTATTTTAACATATAAGCTACACATTGAGACATATATGTCACGCTGAGATTATTCGCACTCAAAATGACCTTATTTTGTCTTATATGGATCTGTATTATTCGCTGTTAACAGTTATGATAGCTCTAGTGTTCTCATGATTTCCTTTATATTCAGCGCAATCAGGTAACTTCTATATGTAAGTAGTATTATTCTTTCCTTAAGTGCTGCACATGCATTTAAGAGTTAGGTCCACAAGCAAGGCGATGGCTTACGTATACGCTACAATGACGAAAACCGCAGTTGAGCCTAAACTCTGTCCTACAAGATGAAAACATACAAAAACACATCTAGTTGACAACAATAATGTGGAAAAACTTTGCACCGTTTACGGATAACTTATTATAATTTAGGTCACGATGAATAATCAGCGCTATTATTAGCGCATCCCTTTATTACACACGAATAACTCTTAATTCAATGATACCGTGGATCTACAACCGTACGTACGTGTTTGCAAATTTACAGTCTCCTGTCATCCTGATTTCATGCATGTACATATAAACGTCTACATAAAAGTATGTTGGTCTGCACAAGAAGTCGCCAATCGACAATATTTTAGGCCGCCGTTATTGACCTCAACTCTCTATGCATATAGAACGTATTGTAAATAAATCTGTAAATTGCCATACTTGTATCCAGATATTAATCCTTATCACATCACCAACTATGAGAGCAGGAACTCAGTTCAAATATAAAGTTACTGGGGTGTCGCATAAAACTAAGGGATGCACACAGTGGTTGATCCGGCGGATTAAAAAGGATTTCGTCTGTAACGAGTCTTGGCTATGGGAAATTTCTGTATTTTTTATAATTCACCCTGCTCTCCTCCGAAACTACTAACCTAGCTGCCGTTCTGCGTACGATAAATTATTTTCCTTCGAAAGAACGTAGACAAGACAAGGCTACGCTGTCACTCAGAGAACCATATACTCGACACGTTCGAATCCTGTCTGTTTCTTCAAAGTGAAAAGAATATCCGTATATGTTTCTATTTGTCATAGGTAGCCCTCTTTCAATTGCCAAGACTTTCTCTGCAGTAAGGCCTATTACTGCAACTCTAGCTTGACCTTCTGTGCCGTTAAACGGCGGCTTGGTTGCTTAAAAACACGCAGCGTTCCCCCACGTGTTTCCTGACTCCCATGACATTTACTCATGTTTTTTTTCGCGGGCACATTTTGATCCGCGTTACATGTAAAACAAATTTTATACTAATTCCAAAACTATTTCGACGCATTTTTTTGCCTTCTTCGATATCTTTCAATCGTATGAATTAACGTATTTTATTTGTGCATTGCAAACGACCGTAAGTAGCCGTAGCAACTTTTGTCTTCCTTTTGCTCGGATTATTGGGCTGCCTCTGTAAACGGTGCAAAAATGTAGGCTTAATCACTAGTTATCTGTGAGAGGGCGTGCACTGGAAGTTTCAAAGTGTACTTTAATTTTCTTGTGGCACCTAATGAGTGTTACCTCTTTGTCTTTTGATGTGGATAGATCTAATACGTTGCTTAGAATTACTTCATAAAATTAAGAGAATCTCGTTAGGAATTCAGTCTTTCGTATGAGCTAGTAAAAGTACTTTAATGCCCGTTAACATATCATAGTCCAGATGACATAATGACATCTATGTTCACCGATCTGCCGTGAAGTGGTCTAGGGATAATGAGCATAGAGCTATCCTCAGATTTAGTTTTGACTCTTCGAGGGTTGACGTAATCGAGCCGGTGAAAGGAAATCGATAGGAAATATTTCTATTTCCGTCCACTCCGCATTCGTAATTAGATTCTGACATGCTTCTCAGTAACTTGCAAGTATCTTTGTTTATTTATAAATACTTGAGAACTACGGGACAAAGCTAGACAAAACCCATATGTACTAATTTAGTTCAGTCTTGATTGGACAATTACGGGATTGGACATGTGGCTCATGTTTGCGATTCCAACTTTTTTAAAAGCATTGACCCATAAGGCCTATGGCTAAATAAATTTTTGTTTCGGCGTGTCTTGATATCAAGACTATCCTTTTTCTTGCCTTAAGAAAACAAAACAATCTAAATTTTTAGCCTTTATTTACGACTTTTGTCTGCGTAGCTCTTCAGCTTTTCCGCCGGTGTGCTCGCGAGCATCCCCCTTTTTCTGCCCATCCATCTATTCACAGCCAGCAGGAAGGCAACGCTGACGCAGAAACGTAAAAGAAGGAGAAAAATGTAACTCTTGATTGTCTACCGCTTCCGTCCCCCATCTCTAACACATAGCATAATTTTCGTCCTTGCAAGTTTCTCTCCGAGCCCCTAACCGTTGAAGCTTAAGGAGAAGGAAAGCCCTTGAAACTTCAGGTGAAGAATAGCCCTTGAAACTTCAGCAGAAGTTTCAACGGCCTACTGTCTGGTGTCTACTTTGTAAGCCGTCAACTTAACTGCTCTGTGACCTCGGATGTTCACGGATTCCTATAATCTGAGCGCCTATTGTGAAGGCACAGTGACCTATATTCTGACTTTTCATAAGGCACCCACCGAGCACAGCAACAATACCAGCTTTAAGTTTAGGTCCTTGACTACTGTTCACAATAGCCTCTCCAACCTAATACACGCACTCTACCACGAGTGGCCAGCTCGATTCGCTTCCGCATTTTTTGGCTACTGTTGCCAAGTTTGTCAGTATTGCTTTTTCCTCACACAGCCGGAGGGACTAGGCGGGAATAAAAAAAGGTCCGAAGATCCGGACGACCACATGGCCCATTCGGGCAGGTAGTGCTGGTATCTCCTTATCCCCAAAAAGCGTGTCGAGTGACTTTCACCTATCCTTGGTCAGCAGGTCTATTAAAACGGTTTCATGCGGTACCATTAGCCTTGTTAGAAATTACCTTTGTACTTTTTTTTATATGATTCAGTACGAGTAATAAAAAATGATAGAAGTATTAGGAATGATGACACACCATCTGGTAGTTCGAGGATGACAACGACACGTCGTCACAGCAGACGTTCTTTACGGGTGTGAACGTTCTGGCCGCGGAACAATTAATTATCTATTTTGTTCGCTCAAATGTAGTAATCTCAGTAGGATATGTCGACGCGTACCCTATATCAAACGACACTGGAAGTCGTCATTTGCGTCAATTGTAGCCTATTAACATTAAGATACTCGAAGAAGAAGATAATACGATGGTTATAAAGTCGATGTCGCGTTAAAATATTTTTAATTGCATCGATACTAGTTTATTATTTATATAGGTATTACAATGCAAGAATACACAACTTCTTAGTAGATCTGCGAATGGAAGTATTTATAATTCCAAGGTATACTGGACAGCCTTCATTGAAATGTTGCTATACAATTCCTCCACATAAATAGTCCAGAAACAAATACTCATCAAACGGCAAAATCGCTATGCAGAAAAATGTAATAAAATGCCTGTAGATAGAATGTGTTACAGAAGACAACACTTAAAAGCTAAAGTATTTACTTTGGGCTTTACGCTAAATACGTAGATCGCCAATAGAAACTGACTTGTAAAAAAAGAGCTTCCGTTAATTCTAGGCTACTCAAATGGACAACTCCCTCCGATACGCCATTGCTCGCGTCGAAATACAAGTGCAAGACGTTAACGATAACGTGCCTCAGTTCGACTATGACATGTATAACATTACCGTTATGGAAAATTTACCCACTGGATTTACAGTTGTGCAGGTAATGAAACACATGGATACAATGCACCTTCAAAGGCACCGTTGCTATCGAGAGATCCCACTTTATAAGACTATTATCAAAACAGAATCCCAAAATTAAGAATCATTCTCCTTGGACTATCTATTAGCCGCTTTGATGGGAGTCTTGTTTTCGAGTAACTAAATACTTAACTAAAAAATGTCAGGGGTGCACATTAAATACTCTCGATTGAGATAATCTTATGAGAATAAAACGTAAGGACTTTATAAGAACCAAGTATAGTGTATATGAGATTTTTAGTATGAATATATCAGGTACCTCCATAAGCTTGAAGTAAAGATTTAGCATTAAGGAGACGTTTTAGATGACGATATACGAGTATATAAGTTTTGTCTTGTTATAAAACAATTATATTATTTATTATATATATATATATATATTGTAGCAATTATAGGGTAACACGATCTAATTTGTTTGTTCACTTAAGATTTCTTGCAGAATACAATGAAAATAATGGCTCTTCCTCTATAGTGTTTCACCTAACCCAAACATAAAGACAAAAAACAACAATATATCAGTAACATATATCTAAAATTACTGATTTCCTTGATCGTTGCATCTATCTGACGTACGTATGAATAGGTAAATGCAGTGGACAAGGACTATGGTGAAAATTCCGCGTTCGTGTATCATCTTGTAGATGAAAGCGGCGGGTTCGCTATCGACGCGCAGAGTGGAGCAATCAGTGTACGAGATCCATCGGCACTCGATCGAGAAAAGACTGACCGTATTTCAATGAAAGTTCTTGCCTTAGAAAGAAAACCCAATGTTCTTGCAGATGCTAAAGCTTCCGCTACTGAGGTTCGTTTCATGTTCTTCTGCTGCTACGGATTAAATTGGTCTCATTAGTGAGGTGGCTAATTTTCACGGGTAACTAGAACCTGTAATTTATTGGCTTAGCGTCAACCTTTACAAGTAAGAACATGATAAAACTAGTCTATTTAGGTCTTTGACAGGAATTCACCGCCTTCGAATCATGGAAATTTTGTCTCAGATTCGCAGAGGGCCCACTAACATTTGACCATGTTGAGATTTTGTCATAGATTTTTACTGATTAATATCTGTCTACATCCCCCGTCTGGACTCTTATATTTGGTACGTATTTATTTTAGGTCATTGTCTACCTATTGGACGCAAATGACAACAATCCAAAGTTTGTGCCTGAGGGAGTGTATACCTTTCGCGTGACTGAAACCGATCCTGCCGGAACTGTCATTGGATCACTGGTTGCGGTAGATCCAGATCTCGGCGATAACGGTCGAGTTGTATTTTTCAAGCAAAACGATACGCTTAGTCTGGGAGTGCCATTTGACGTACATCCTATTAACGGCTCGGTGTTCGTTCTTAATACCTTCACTCAAATAGCCGTAAAACAAGATCGATATACCTTCTTCGTGATAGCTTCTGATTCGGTTAAGAACCCTCATGAGAGAAGGTACTTCACTTATGCCCTTCAGTGCCAATGGGGATGTGGAATAATAATATCAGTAATGCACCATTGATAAAAACTTTTAGAAAAATCTGTGAACAAGCTGCCGTTGTTCTACTTATTGAAACCGACTAAGTCGGAAGTTTTATATTGTTGATAGCAGTATGCTTCAGGTTATTTACGACCTAATCGATAAAATATTTAAGCACAAAATGCGTAAGTTTGCCCGATGTATAGGATACTTCGAAAAAACGAATGATGCCCCAGAAAGGCTTCTTTTGACCCACTTGTATTTATTATGACTTAGTAAAAACATGCTTATATACTAATAATAAACAAAATCGGTCAACATATTCACTACCATTTAATGTTGCTCGTTGTTACGTGATGGTAGGACGGCTGTGGCTGTGGTGCACATAGATGTCACAGACGTAAACAACAATGTGCCGGAGTTCGTGGACGCACCTTACGAGGCGCGCGTCGGAGAGTCACTTCCTGCAGGGGCTCTTGTTACACAGCTAAAGGTTTGTACTAACAAGTGATTTATATTTTATGGCGACGATTGAAGCCTATGCGAAGCCAGAAGGCCCGAAATAAGCCTTACAGAATCCGAAAAACGGTCCTGTCACAGTTCGATCGATAACGTATTCGCCTGCTAATGTTAGGGACACGTTGTCTAGGTTCGAGGTGCGTTCTGTGCTGGGAGCCAGCCGTCTCATGGAATGCCTAACAGCAATATCAGACATAAAACTCAAAATGTAAAGATTTCAAAGAGGAAGGGTACAAAATTATGCTACCGTGAAAAGTATAGTCTGTTAGGTTAATTGTTGTCCATGTTTAGAAGCAAAGATGTGTAGATAGCGGTTATTGAAATCTGTGTACCATTACTAAGCACGGTTGACTATTCATAATTCCTCGTTTCTCACAGCTACATTTTTTAGTTCTATTATAGTTTATTTATGTACTCGTTAGTTCCCTTTAACGCAATTTATATTCAATTTTTAAACTTGTAGCAGTTATTTTTTTTCCTTTATGCTTTCGGTCATTCTTCAATGTGCAGCGATACGAAAGGTGTCAGTACAGACTTTAAACATCTGCACTGACATTTCTACACGTCTACCGGCTTACTGTAGTACTTTAATGAAATTCTTTGACCAAGATGCTGCATATTCGTTGTCGCTTTTAGAAAAGAAGTCCAGTGATACACATAGGTCGAAGCTATTGCATGGAATGGAAGTAGAGACTAAAGGACATAATATACAAGAGCTCAGACAGTTCTAGTCTGACACAAATGTAACATCATCTTCTGTAGAGAAGCGTTTCCACTTTTAGGCTTCAAAATTAATGAAAGCGTAACCTGTGTGAGGCAAAATGAAAGTGTTATCAGGCACTACGAAGTTTCTTCAGCTCTTAGTAATTCTGTCAAGCCACAGTACCACTATGGAACACTTATCTAAGGATCAGTTAGCAAAGCAGGACGCTCTGTATAAGCCAAATGACCAGGATTAGGCTAGCGATTATTATCTACATGCTTTTTCCTTTTGTTTGGATTTTAATCGAAAAATCGAAGTGCCTGCCAGACTCTGTACGCCCAATACGGACCCTAAATCGCCTCACATCTAGTTCAATTTAATTAACAAACCCTTTATCTTTGTTCTATCAGGTGCAGCATGTTGTTTATCGTTAGGCCAATTGTGCCGAAGATTGAAAGTTACTAGAAGTATCTTCAAAGTTAAGTAAATGAGTGCAAAAACAAACAATCCTCATTCGAGGTCAACAGCTACTTGCCCAGGTCCCTCGTGTGAGCTTGATTCTGTTGTTGGAGTTGAATATTTACTGGGTAGGCACATTCGATCAAGCCTAGCAAAATAATACAACTTTTCATAAAAAGCGCAACGAAACTCGTTATGAAGATACAAATCAAGGACTAGTTTTGCAGAACACGGCGGCACAACTTGTTCGCACAAATATGTTTTAACTTATACATAGACAGACGTTAATTAAGTTGCTACAAGAATTCTGAACATTTCGGCTACCACGTTAAGGTGCATCTTTGAAATTCTCGAGCGTTTTGATAATTTTGTGGTGTGCACACTAATTTCAATGCCACCATGATTCTAGCACTTTTCAGGAGTTCGACGTCCAGCTTACGCTAATAGCGTCGTCCACGCAAGGACGGGAGTGTAGCCTGTTTTTTGCACCTAGAGTGACTCCTTACGGCTAACCTTTTGACCGCACCAAAGCTGTAACGATGCGATTTTGTGACCCGCCATAAGTGATGACTATTTTCATTTACGTTAGAAATCTATTGCGATACAATTCCTCTATTGAAATTAGCCTCTATTGAATTAATCTAGATAGTTTATAGGTTACCGACTTTTTTTCTGCTGTCTGCCACCGGTCGGAGTTGGTTAAATTGCTGTATATATTATAGCGTCGGCTAAACACCTGAAATTTACACCATTTCTATGTACTGTCGACCTATCCTTCGGTGCGCTCAATTTTGTTAGAATTGGATAAATCTCGCCTTATAAGCACAACTCATTAACTGACATTATTTCTCTTTTACTTGCTGTTTACCACAGGCTCGTGATTTAGACGCCAACTCTGTGCTAGAATATTCAATTATCGCCGGAAATGATGATGACCTGTTTAGGGTAGATTCGCGAACGGGAGCCATTACTACAAAACAAGTTCTTGATTTCGAACGGAAACAAGCGTATGATCTACTCGTTCAAGTCTCCGACGGCTTCAATGTGAGTAACGCTATGCCGGAGTTTATTTTTCTCACGTTTTCTCTTTTTTCATTTATTTTACCTACAACGGCTACGCGCCGAGGTATTCGGCCAGCTGCTTCATAGCTAACACTTACTCAGTGTAATTACATAGACGGCTGAATAAGGTAAAACGAATTTAGAATTACTTTTATTACACATGTATTCGAGTGAGGAATTATTATATTGTACACATTTAAGCATACGCAAATAATGGACAGATTTTAAGATAAATTTTAGTTAGAGCTTGATAATTGTATACGATAAAGTCGTGTGAACATATAGCTAATACCTTATTTATGAGAAGAAAACCTGTGTGCTTACTGGAGTACTTTACAAAGCTTAAAGATGATTTTGATAGTCAAGCTTGTTTAATAGCTACTTCAAGAAAGCTCAATTTATATATATCACTCTGCTATAGATAGATGGACCTGAAATTCATATTCCTGAAGTCTATCGATAGAGAAAAGTTTAATAATCAAAGAAACTGTTCGTCTTCTTTGTTTTGAATTCAAGTTTTATATATATATGTATATATAAAATAGAAGTTATATTAGGCGTAATTATGATTGACGTGCTTTTACAGACGGCGGTTGCACCGCTAACGGTATCGGTTGTAGATATCAACGATCAACAGCCAGTGTTTACGCATAACTATTACAACTTCTCAGTGGTAGAAGAGTTACCGGAAAATACGACAGTTGGAGCCATCAAAGCCATTGATAGGGATTCAGGCCAGAATGCGGAGATCCATTATGTGATACTCGGAGATCAGGTTTGTCGAATTTAATTGATGACAGAAAGCCGAAGTATGTACTGGCTTTCTGTCATTCTACGTACATTTTTTACTATAAACGTACCTAAACCAAGATGAGAGTTCAAATGTGGTTTTACAGAAATTACTTAGCTAGGTCAATCTTTTTTTAAGGCCAATGAATCATTCATGATTGACGAAGACGGCAACATTTTCACCCGACGGCGCCTGGACCGTGAGTCACAAGCAAAAAGCGAGTTTCTAGTAATCGCTTTTGATGGAGGCGTTCCGCAACTCAGCGGAACCACAACCGTTGCAGTGACCGTTGAAGACGTCAACGATAATCCGCCCGCATTTGAGGGTGATACCTTCTTTGTGAACGTTCAAGAGGAGATCGACCCGCCGAAGGAGGTCTACAAATTGGAGGTTCGTATGATCATATTTATAGGTGATCAGTTCTATTATTAATTCCAGTGTTACGGCAGTCATATGACAGCTTAAATTTTCTTATCTGCTCTAGTAATTTCACACAGGCCAATTAATCTAGTATATTCAGCTTTCCACAACCTCCATTTAGATACTCCAATTATAAATAACATCCATAAAGGCCTCTGTTACGGATCACCTCAGGAAGGAACAACACAAACTTTATTCGTTTAAAAAAAAAAAATCCGAGACGTGTCTGAATAAAAATAGCTGGTAGTCATTATGTTCCATGCTGAAATAGACACTTGTCTTCTTGTTTCACTGCAAAGTGCTTCACAATACTCGATCTATTTTAAGGACATACGTTTGGAGATTCTTATTGCGTGTTAAGACATTACAAATGTATATTTGCCCTATAAATCTGATGTTGACCAGGAAACCGCTGTGAACTACAGCTATAGAAAATAGAAAAATTGCATCAATCGATAAGAGACCGGTGACGTTTATTTTTGAGATCAGTTTACATGTACGGTTTACGTTGATAGAGTGAAATTCTCAAAGTGACGTTTTTCGAAAATAAACAAAAGCACAAAATTTAGCATTCGAAAGAAAAACTTACACCTACACCAAGTAGGGACCTGGTTGATATCCGGCCTAAAGCTTTACGTCGTACTAATGAATGTGACTCGAGACCCTGGCGAACCTAAGCCGGTCTCTTCCAAGGCCGATATATATATTGTATATAAAATTTGCGTGAATATTAAGTGAAACCGAAACAGTATTCTGAGTATAAGAAGAAGCCTTCTCGTGAAGTGACATGAAACGATTGTCGAATCAGCTAAGTACTACCGCTCGATAAATTTCTATAAGTTCTCGTAAGATGACATGTGAACGCCATATATTACCAAAGGCTATGTTGAAAGTTATGAAAGTGGTGTAACAAAATCATACGTTTGTCATCATTGTTTGCTTCCTTAATATAAATCATGAGTTTAACGTCTGTTCCCATAATGCAGTCACTTTTTTCATCGGTGACCATTAATATTTCTGAGGCTAACACGCTATTGGTCTATTATTAAATTTTTGTTTAATGAAAAAGGACTTCTTGGCCTGACATCAGTGAGGACGCATCAAATAAATTATCGGATTGGCGTAAAGCAGGCCTCCGCAGTAAGGAAATGGTTCTCACCTTTATCAAGATACAATATGACCTTGTCCGGCGAGAAGATTTTTAGTGACATTAGTGTAAGACGACTTCTACAAATATTATGTTGCATTTCACGTTTTTACAAGTTTAACACGGTATGCACATTTTATACAGCTTAACATCCGCTACGCTGTGTGTGTCAAAAACAAATCTGAGAATGCTATCTCCCAAGACATTACGACGAGATATCTCTATATGCACCTAGTTTTTTTTAAGTCCTTCTAACCATATGAAGAATATGTATAAAATAAAAAAAAAAAGAAGTTTAATTTTTGTGTCTCTCATGACATAATAAGAAAATTTAGCTCTTAAAAAGTTGGCTCTTCCTCTTTACGAGCTACACTCGTTTAAATTCTACAATATATTTATTTACTCAAGTAATTCAGGCGGTGCCTATAACTGTAATTATACATGTTTTATACTGCGATATATATCCATCGACGGGAGTTATATGAACTTAAGTCGCAAATAATAAAATACGATGAGATGTATTAGGATAATATGTAGTCGTTCCGCCCTTATCGAAATTAAGACTTCAGCAATGAAGAACTGTACATTTATGCTAATCTTTAATAAAAAGCGCATGTATAAAGGCGTTTACAAGGAATGAGCGAATAAAAAGCATGATATAGCATACACAATAGAGCTTCTTAATACAGTATATGCATCAACACGACACCTACGATACTTACTTTGTCTTTCAAGGCTCATCGCTATTTGTCGGTACCACATATCTAAGAACATCATAGCAAATTTTGTTTATGTATCTGAACTTCAACGGTCCCTACAACCCTACCACTACACAAATAATCAACAAGAAATCTATCGTAGTGGATTGATTTGATTTTACAGGTATTATTTATTAAACGGCCTGTCACCTATTACACACCACATAACAAATTATATTCACAAATACGATATATGTTTTACGGAAATTTTTGCTTTGCCAAAGTACGCGTAGAGAGTGCTTTGCTAAATCACAAACAGTCGGCTTGTGGCCCTCATTAAGTCGTGGCTGACCAAAGGCCTATATATGTGATTGGGTTCATTGATTTTTACTAACGCAATTTTTCTTTCGATTAGTAATTATTTTCCTAACATGCTCAATGCATAAGTAGATTATTCGATCTTATTGAACAAGAGGTTATGGAAACGGAATTAATATAATAATAGAGAAGAAGCCTTATGGCTCCTTCTGCTGAGAAGCCTTTTCAATGTGATTCCTGACTCCGTGGTTGTGGGGTAATGATGTTCAATGATTCAGCGATTCTTAGCGTACTTAGCTTTCGATTTCTTGTGATCTCAAACCGTCGTCTTGCCCATTTCTTAGCGTAATTGATTTGAGTTCTAAATAGCTAACTACTAATGGTCTACCATCAACTTTATCAACGAAACGTATGTATATTTCTTTGCTTTTCCCACACGATCTGGGTTGTATGCTATTCTAAAAAAAAAAAAAAAAAAAAGATAAACTGCCAGTGCGTCCAACTAACTGCTTTGAGTCCGTGCGGAATCTCTGCATGAATGCTGGAATGAGTTGGGTTATCTTATCCTGTAAAACTGATGTTGAAATCAACATATGGATTTTTCTTCGAAGAACTGCAGCAAATCTATAAACAAGCCAACAGATTTGCTCGGCGTTCAAAGGGCGAATGACTTAACACGATATTATCTACATCAAAATGCATTGTTATCGAAGTTATTTTGAAGGATACCGTTTATCGTCCAAATAGTAACCATGTACCGGCATGTAAACACTTAGGTGTTGCTTTTGTCGCTGACTTTAGACTTATCGAATGCTCAGAAGCAGCATTACAAACTCTTACCTTATAAAACCTCAAATTTAGTTGAGCCTTTATAACGCTTCCTCCTCTCAAAACATTCATATTGACAAATATAAATCTACATATCAAATTAGACAGTAACTGCTGGACTTCTAGACGAAGTTCCATGGTATAGGTTAGTCACTTACAATAAGATTTTGCGTCACTTCAATCGTAGCATTAACTTTGGTTAGTAATAACTTTTTCAGGCAAAAGATGCTGATTTGGGTGATAATGCAGTAATGAAGTATCGAATCATCGGAGGCAACGACGAGAAAAACTTTGAAATCAACGAAGACACCGGAGTAGTGTATACAACAAAGCGGCTGAACTTCGAAGCCTTTGCCGAGTATTCTCTACAGGTTGCAGCATTCAATATTAAGCCCTTTCAAGGACCTCAAGCGGCTACTCTCGGGAACCCTGTCGTCACACTTGTTGTTAAGGTCTCGTATTCACTGTATCTCTAACAATCAATTTCTGTTGGTGTATGCGAAGCGCAGCCAAATATACAATATTTCGAAGATAGTTTCACGGAAAGAAATGTTTCTTGCTCCTTTTACTTTAACTAAAAGTATCGAATTAAAAGTAATGCAACATTTGGGTAAGGTTTGTATATTTTTTTACATATATATATATATATATATATATATATACACACACACTCAAGGACACTTTTCTTCAAGGACAAACGATTCTTCTCATCAAACCTGATTGCGGTGTTAGTATTGCTTCACAAAGTTTGTTGTTGCTCCGCCGCAATGATTTGATACTCATTTTCTCTTTTGAAGTTTTTCTTCTTTTTGCCTTTACTACGACTTAGTTCCCCTTCATCTCATTATGACATTCTGTTGGTTAAACGCACATCAATTTTAAAATATCCAGTATAAACGCGTCAACTATTTCTCGACATGTAATAATGTAGGAATAATAGCCAACGTTCACATAACATATGTTACCAATTCTCAACTATTTTCAAGCTTACCGTAATATAGTAGCATTTCCCATTTAATGGTAGGCCCCATAAAATGAAAGACTGATTTTTTCGCCTTATTTTATAGGAAAATACAAAATCTACTACATAAATAAACAGAAATTAAGTTATTCTGCTAATCGCAAATGCCAACGTAACCGATCCTCTCTGATTGAAAGAAGACAAAACTAAACTGTTTTACCATCTGACTTGCTAGAAAATACGTATGGCAGAATACAAGTTGCAAAAAGATACTGGTACAGAAATACAATATTTATATATTCTTGCATGTTTTAGGTGCAAGACGTTAATGATGAGGCGGCAATTTTTGAACAACAACATTACCAATTTCGTATTCTTGAAAATACGACACGCTCAGAGACTGTTGGATACATTCGTGCTGTTAATCCTTCGCGCGCTTCTAATGATCAGCAAATCACCTACTGGATCGGAGACGGAAACGACGCCGGAAAGGTTTGTGTACATATATATATATATATATATATAATTAGACAGAACTCTTGTAATATGTCATGTGATAAGAATAATACAACGTTGCAATAACGAATGATGCTGTTTGCATGCTCAGCAGCTTAAGAGCAAGCTATCTGCGTGAACTTCCATAAACAGGTTACACTATTTGTGATTTATAGTATTCTGTTAATATTGTTTATTAGCCGCACATTAGTTGTTCGAATCACGGAAGAATAAGTATAAGTCAATTGCACAGAAACATTATGTCGCACGGCATTAAACACAACATGTCCATCAATGCTAAAAGGAGCATAACAAATTGTTGCTTTCCTTCAATATTTGCTCGTCCTTTTGAGTAATCGACATGTTTATATTACGCTGAAGTTTACCGTTGTTTTAGCTGTTCTTTTTGCGAAAAATGTATGTCTATTTTTTCCCAATAAAAAATGTTCTGTTTTTTTAAAGCGTCTGAGGCTGTGTAATCCGAATAAATGAAACAAACAAAAAGCATATAATTGATCTTGTATAAATGAACTTTGTGTTGCGTATGCCGAAGGTAAGTTATCACCAGCGAAACACGCGGACATATTCACGTTGCTTTAAAAAATGCTGACATTCATGCAATCGATGAGCACCAATGTGATTTCTTTTTGTTGTTTTTGCTCATTCATTACACTTTATCCAGTTTTGGATAAATCCGGATACCGGGGAGCTCGTGTTGATGGATAAAGTCGATAGGGATCCGCCGGCCAGCCAGGCGCAATTTATTCTACAGGTGTTTGCTCGAGACCAGCTTTCGATATCCAACCTTAACATCTCTGTACCTGTTGTTATTGACGTCATTGATATTAACGATAATGCCCCCTCGTTTGGTGAAGGTACGTACAACAATTCACGCTATTTTTTTGGCCTTCCTTAGCAAATGTAGATTCGTGCAGCTGTGCTGTTGGCACACGTTTGTTTACCTAAGGGTCACTATTATACAGTTAAAATTCTATTCAATTCAAACGAAGAAAGATCGTAGTTCACACATAGGCAATTGATAGTTGTTCCTCATGCTAGGTTCATGGAAGGAGTTACCAGTAGACTACGAGTTCGCATTGCTCATCATCTAACTTGGCCACAACCCTTTAGCCGTATCAACTTACGGACGATGTCAACCATGTAATTCTTTTCTACACGTTGTTACAATATGCATTGTAATATTACATCCAGTTATTGCAGTAGTATTTATCCATAACTGACGCTTTGTTAACGAGCCGTTTCAATTTTCTCCATCCATAACCAACTTTATTTTATTTCTTGTTCTTTGTGTATTCAAACACTGTCTTTGGTTATCTACAATATAAATCTTTTGCCGTTTGCATATCTTTTTAGCTTGAGCCGTATGCTGTATATTATGAATATATTTGTTTAACATGGCAGCAAGACGTATCTGCAAGGTTTTTTTAGGCAAAAGAAAACGCCCTCCAATACCAAATTTTTGTTTAGGTAAGGACTATTTTAGACCTAGCGGATGTTCTACGCTTTTCTGATATTGATCATCCCTGGCTCAACTGTACGCTACTACGCAATAAAACATCGCCATTTTTCTCAAATGAAATGGTGGCGGCAACTATCCTTTAGTCGATTTTTGCTGTGTGTCTCCTGGGAGAGCAATTGCTCTTGCGCTGTGTAGGCATCCCCTGTGCTTAACCCTAGTGGTTCATTTCCGAATGTCCCTTCTACCGACAATTGTTGGTATGGGTACAGCAGTATCACAAACCCACCACCGTTTCCACTGTTGCGGCAATTTTTGTTACAAAATGTTGACGTCATTACATTACCTACATACCTCTGTGCAGACATGGGGGTAGCTCAGAACATTCGTTGCGACTCAGATATCTCGCGAATTCTTCAACTCTCCTTTGTCACACAGCGGTTTGTAATAGTGTAGTTGGATTATGTTACTGTACTCGAAGTGTTCTTTCCTAGATCAACATACCGTTTAACAGGGCTCGAATGTTTGGCCATTTTTTGTTACCTATTACAATTTTCAATACAGGCTGGAGAGTGTAACAGTCAGCGGGGGTACTTTCTTTTTTCTGGATCCTCCGAAAACGAATCGCGAACAAGTATTGTAAGAGAAGAGTCTGATAATCTATTTTGCAGTTTTATCGTTATACAATATTTGTCGCATATTTCAAGATTTGCTTTTGTAACTTTAGATGTGAGCATACAAGGAGCATGACCTATTTGACAAAGAGTTGGTTACGGAGAAATATAAAAATTGGTCAGTGACACAGACGTACGCTTACACGCGGTAAACAACAAACTATTGTTGGAATATCGATGAATGGGAAAAGGATTCCTGGGCCTCCTTATTTTCGATTTGGACAACGCAAACATCGGAAAGTGGGAAGGGACATGGAAAGGAAAGATAAAATGGAGGGTCAACGTTGCTTGCCTCTGAATGACTGTGTGAAGAAACCCAGGCTTCGTTTGCCCGTTTATTGAGTTGTTCTATGACAAAATACTGAGGTACCAATCCCCAGCGGAACAGAATTTGACCCTTATTCGTAGGCTACAGCGCCCTAAAGTTCAAGTGAACTATTTTGCTGAAGTCGGTACAATATGAGAATTCGTGCTCCATTATGAAGATGACGTTAACATGGAAGTGTCAGATTGTTTTTGTGTAGAAAAAAACAGGTAACACCGCGTCGCTGATATTCCCATTATGACTATTAGCGTGGAAAACCAGATGGTAGATCAGACCAAAATGGAGGGTAACAGAACCCGCAGAGAGACAACGTAACTCAATAAGTGGATGAACGATGAAGGGTAAAGGAAGACACCAACTCGAGTGTTTGTGTTACTCTACACATCCTATGAGAGTTCCGGATAAGGGCTGCAGCTACTACATGAGTAATTCTTCGGCGTATTACAGCTTTATTATCTTACTGGTAACCGTATTATATAACTCCCTCGAGTTAACTAAAAGAAGAAACGTTATCATCGCACTAAAGCAACCGTCGAAATGAAAGCCGAAATGAGTCGGAATGAGGCCCGCGTCTTATCAAAGGATCTGGCGTAGAAAGGGTGATACTCACTGGGTCTCCTGGCAGATTTTAGAATTGCACGCGTAATATAATCATAGGAGAGTTTATTGGAAATCTAACATACCATAATTTTTTAGTAAAATAGATGTTTATTTGACCTTTGTGTAAAAGTCATGGCCGACTGACGACGGCCGAAAGGCAGATACCTATACTGACGATAAAAACCGTGTAAGGGTTTTTGAAAAATGAGTTCAGAATAGTAAACATAGTCTAAAGTATACTAGATCTGCTTCAGTGCACCTAACTCGCTGTCCTTTTCTAGAATGGGTATTCCTTATTATATTAGTTACCGTTATTAGCAAACGACCTTATCTCGATCATTCTCCAAGCACTATTAGGCGAAGCCGGTTAAATCTAATACATAGTGAGAGTTGTGTATCATCTAATTTATTTATAATATGATCTGTTAGGATAGGATGCTTAAAGCGAATACGCGCTGCTTTAAAACGTATCTATATAGACCAAACGGTTAAAATAATAGTTTTGTTTCTTTCATGACTCATCTTTAGACCATCTCATGGTGAGCATTTATTTACTATTTTAAGTTACCTAATTTTGTTATCCATCTATAGTTCTATTGTTTTTCGAGCAAATCTACACTCGTACGATATGCCGTTAGTTGTCTTTTTTGGTGTATTTAAGCGCCTTATATTACATGAGGTTAAGTGTACAACATACTGGGTCGAGATAATTTTTTTCAAATGTGACGGTAGATGATTCTACAAATGACAGGACCACTTATATACAGTTAGTCGGTGTTAAACAAGGCCAGGCTTTGTACATAAATTGAAAACAGCTATAGGACTCTGTATACTTGGTTCTTGTGGTGATACGTAAGCCCCTCGTATCCGCATAATCTCAAATCGTATGAGTTCAAGGCTGAAGGAGGATAACAAAGCCCTAGTAACGTGGCTACCTTTAGGACCTTAAATTAAGGGTTAAAATTGAATATTAAAGTGTCTCAATTGTTTTGAGTAAGACATCTTGTGTTTTGCAGATTCAATTTGGATCTCTTGGATCGGTTACCAAGAAGCCTTGTTTACAGATCGTACGCAAATAATTTTTCGTGGCCCTAATTATAGTACATATAGTATAAAAATAACTTCACTCAACCTCCATTGATAAGCCATTTAGATGGTGCGAGAAAAAAATTATATGGCTACCTCCAAACCCAGGCGCCCTGTTATATCATCATGTCAACAAGGTCACCTATACCCTCTGAATAGTGCCTTTATCCCTAGGATTCCGACGATACGAGAGCTTCAATTTTACATTGCAGATGTTGTGATCATTTATTTCCGAAAGCGTACGGCTGTGCTTATACAGGCTGACAAATATACAGTAGTAAGCTCGGCAAAAGATCTAGGGGTTACGATCGTGTCGAAACGTAGCTTCAGTCTTCATATTAATTAGATAATTAGATTGACATTAGCTGCCGTTAATCTCTTATTTTTTAGGTGCTTTACAAGCAATAACTTTAAGGTTGATATTAATCTCTATAAAGGCTTCGTTGTTCCCAAATGGATTGAAGTTCAACGACGTGGTACGGGGAAACACATTAATGCCATTGTGCCACGAGTGCAGAACACAGATTTGACCTTACAGGAAAATAGTGTACCTCTTCAGCTGATGAGGCGCATTCTATTTTCGACCATAACATGTTTAGTAGGCTGTAACTAGTAAATCATACTTCATTAACATTCGCACTCTGTAGTGGAGAACAATAGCGGCGTAATACGTGGGTCGAACCCAGAGGCTAAATAAGGTTTTCACGGAGGGCTCTCCGTTAATTTCGTTAGAGATGAATGAGTGCTATTCGTACGGTAGATTTACATGACACTGCTGCAAGTATTTACCTTTATATATACTGCTGAGATCTTGTAAAAAGTATTAATAATATGCCTACCTCGGTTCAGTAAAAGTTCATATGATCGAGAGGGCGAGAGTCAGATTTGAGGTCGGTAGAGGACCTCTAGGAAAAATTTTGGAGAAACTCAATCATTATAGCAATGCTAGGGCACGAAAACTAAAGCGACGAGTAGTTTTAACTTGGCTACAACAAACTTACAGTGTATAATGTAGATTGCAATAGATGAACTAGGCAAGGCCCGCACTACTGATTTATGACATCTCAAAAGTCAATAACACAATCCTTGCGAATCTTCCATACATATGACATGGTTTTTCGTTGACTTCTCTATTACAGATCGGTTCGCCCTGGAGCTTCCCGAATCGCTTCCATCAGGCACAGAGCTACCCGCCTTTTACGAGGCATTTGATCTTGACGCTGGTGACAATGGACGGTTAGTGGCTTTTATGATTAACGGCAGCGAAGATAAATTTGCTGTCAACAATCAAACTGGAAGCCTCGTGCTCATCTCGGAACTCGACTACGAAACTCAAATAAGTCATGAGTTTATTGTTATGGCTATCGACGGAGGATCTCCGCCCAGAACTGGGTGAGTTGTCAATTATATTGACTTATTATTCGGTGCATAGTAGCTCACCAAACTGGGATACCAGCCTAAGTGAATTTTCGATTTCCTCTAAAAAAGTCATATACTATGTATTACGAAAGCATTGGGGCACATTTTCCTGCTATAAATTAGCAAACAATAGGGATAAAAGATTCAGGTACTGGTAACACTTTGTGATTGTATAGAGGAATAATTGCAGTTCCGTAGGATGTCTAGGATAAAAATACCTTTGACGACTTGTATAGATGCTCGACTAGATATGTAAACAGGTTAGCACCAAGCCGGTAGAAAATATATTATTGCTTAGGTCTAAACAAATAAAAACCTGCGACTTTACCTGAATCACAGGAGTTGTGTGACAGCGAACGTTTTTGCATATTGTATAATCTAACAATTTTTTTTAACGCAAATATTTCATCAATATATCGGTATTATTCGAGTAAAATTAGATTGTCCTATCTGTTGTGATTATCAGAAGCGTTTGCCTATTTGTGCTTCGAAAATAAGCCGTAAATTTGGGAACGAAAAGGTATACGTGTTTTATTTAAGTTCACATACTAAAACCCTCGAGGTTTCATTACTACTATTAGTGTAAATATTGTATATACCCTCACTGGAGATAAATTGGGACAATTCGAATAGATTCAGAGGGAACTGTGACTCGTACCCTTGACGCTTGCCAGTGTAAATCCATTTCACTTAATGGAGAGAGGGTAGGAGCTATGGAAGACAATTTAAAGCTGAGGATCCTCTAAAGCCTGCTAAACAGATCAGTGAGTTAAGAACTACACCTTACCAGTTCAATGACTAAGCAATTTTCTTTACTTAAAAGGGCCCTCGTGATTTAGTGTATCATCAATTAATGAAGTAGATGCTTCTTGTTTGTATTGATTTATACTTCAACTCAGTGTTACGTAAAGACAAGAATAGCGCTACTAGAGTCGGAAACGTGAAAGCATTAGAATAATACGTGTATTATATATTTGATACAAAAATGAAAGGATTGCAATCGTGGAATCGCAGCTTACAATTACGTTTCTTTTAGCGCACGATATGTTCTACCAGCATTAGACACTTGGTTGCAAAGTGTTTCTTTCGATTTTGGAATTACTAAGGCTTTGTTAATTTTCTTCAGTTCTCCGTTGGCTTAGAGAATAGATCAACTCGTTTTTAGAAAATAACAAAGCTGCACGTAGGATTTACTTTTTATTCATTTATGCACGTGAAATTAATTTTCCAGCTCAACTTAAATTGTTAAATGGATCGAGAAGCAGCCATGACTTTTTAGCTAAATATTCAAAGGATTCGCGTTTGTAAACATAAAAGATGGGTGAGCGTAAGATTTTAAAATCTTCAATTTTAGTACCCATTTTCGGGCGCAAACACGGTATTTGCTACACTATGCTATCAAAATCAGGGTAACTAAAACCTGCTCGAATGGGCAGTGTAGTCTGGGTAGCTGATGCGTACCTTTTTAACAAACATGCAATCACGCTGGAACGAATCTCAAAACAAGACCCCCTGGAATTAAAATACTACAAAAAAATAAATAACAATTTGGTTATTAGGTCCTTGTGGACGTATCACGAAGCTAGCACCTTCTGCATGCTGCCAGTAATAAAGATTTCTTGACTTTTGTTGACACAGGGGTAGGATGATGCGTTGTAAGGACCAACCGAATTTCTCGACTAGTGATGATGCCCGAGACTGTAGTGTAGTGGTAGCTTTAATCTGCTGTCGTAACGGCCCTCTCTCTGTTTTGAGTTTATATACACCGAATACTGTCGGTGATATACCTACGGACGAACCTGTTTTTAACTATGAGCATTATAGTGTTATATAGCAGACAGTCATGACACAATGAACTGGCAGTCGATAATATCAGGAATTATCAGTATAAAGTATGTCTATTAGAGAAAGCCCTACAACCAAAAAACCTGTAATGCGATAACAACGAATGCATCTATCTCCGTCGGGTAAGTTCGAGGGCTCTTGATGATCGGGGAAGTCCAAATCAAAACAGTAAGAATAAAGCAATAGAAAAGAGAATTTCAATGAACTCTAGACGTAGCATAAACTTGGAACCGTATATGAGCTTGACGCTAAGAGCCGCAGTTGCGACCACGAAGGATATCAAACAACGATTTCTCATCAAATGGACAAGTGACTGATTACCTAAAAACAGTAAAATTAGCATATAAAATCCTCATGAGCCAAATGAAATGTATATATGCACCAGGCAGGTACCACACCCTTCTGACCCGTGTCATCTCGCTAGGGACCCTATCATTTTAGCCATTCTAGATTTAGGTCATTCTATAGGTCTGGTCTTCATAGAATTAATTGTACGAAGTAATAGTATGTAATTGTTTTCTTGATTAACCGGACTATATTTTACAAAACTATATGTATATATATCATGCTATTGGGTAGCAATTGCTTTTAAAACAAGACAAGCTGATTCAGCAGGTTCAGTTGATTCTAGTATTTGAGGTACGCATTTTTATGTAACAGCGGATGGTGGCGTTTTGCACTAGATTATAACAGAGTCGGCAGTCTTCTTGAGCGCTGCTACCTTCATCCGAGACAAGGCGTTAATCACAGCAGTAGGAAATGCACAGACATATAGCCGCCCCCGCGAGTGACTCGATTATTCATCGTTGCGTCGTTTTGTGCGGACGTCTGCTTTTCTGTTTTGTCTCGGGGCGTGTTTTTGGGTGGCACAAACGATACTGTGGCAGTTGCTGTTGGGAAAGCCATTAATGGTCACTTGTCGCTATATTTATATATAAGATAAGTACAATACGTAGAACAACATAGAAGATGACAAGTCAAGGGGTAGGAGACAATCACCGGACGAATAAGAACTATTATGGCTACCGCGACAACCGCAATGGACCGGGTCAGTCCTCGGCAACCTCAGTGCTTAACTAAGGGTAAAAAAGAAAGAACATTTTAAGCTGGAATATTCAAATGGTTCATTCAGTTTTGCACCCTGGTGGCATACATGGTACGGAGACATTTACCGTACATGTGTTTTATGAAAGATAATACGCGGAGCTCATTTCGCTTCATCTTCTCTCTTTTTGCTTGGGTCATTTAAATAACTAGTTTCCCTGCGTAGTCGCTGAAGACAAAGTCCTTTTTCTGAGCAGAAGAGTATTAAGACACCGAAGTTCTTGAATTAGGGCTTAACCAACAAGGTACAAGACATTTAGTATGTAGTATACCTGGAAAAAACATTTCAGCTACTCAGATCACGCGCCTGCATAATTACGAGGCAGCTACTGTTTCTACTGGATTATCCTAGGTACTACGTGGTAAATGCAAAATAAAACAAAACAGTGCTAACGCTTTTCTTGGCAAATACATATAACGTTGACTTCGAGGTAGCTGGGCTTTCTTAGACTATAAAAGTAAGATGATGAAAATAAACTTTTTGCAAATAATCTCAGTTATACAGTGCAATAATCTTTAGGGACAGTCGTCCTCGTCAAGGGGACTACGGTAGCTCAGGTGACAAAATTGTAAAAGCTCCACTTTATTTATACTGTCGGAGAACCAAGAGTAAATTTAGTGTGAAATAACTTGTGATGTGTCAAGTGGGCGCAACATATAAACGTAAACAGTAAATTATTTTGCTTTAACCTGAAAATAAGAACCTGCATATGAAAAATACCCGCCAGAATCATCATGATTAAGCCCGAGCACAAAATAATAGTTTTACGTTGTTAACAGCAAAATTAAAGGTTCTTAAATGTTCGCACATTGTGAACTGCGGCCGTTCGCTAAGGCCACGACAACTTTTGGAAGTCACATAGAAATGTACAGCCATAATAGCAGTAAGAAACACTACATTTAAAGTCGTACAATTTGACTACATTCTCATAGCAAATGATATTTTAGAGTTTTCTAATATCGCATCAGAAGAGAAGAATAAATCTGGTACAAAGACTTTTGCCCATAGTAGAGTAGGCAGTACGCACTATAGGTCAAATATAGCTAATTATGTGGTATTTCCGTGTTACTCAACGTGTGTGCTTTTCAGATCAGCGACCATTGTGATCTCTGTCCAAAATATCAACGAGTATACTCCGCAGTTTGAGGGTCTCCCATACACATTTCAGGTTGCAGAGAATGCCGCGCAGGGTACCAGTGTTGGCGTTATTCGCGCTAGTGACCGTGACGGAGATCGGGTGTCATTTACCTTGGCTGAAGGAGATACTGGTAATAATTATTTGATAATTTTACCATTTAATATTCTTCAAATATTTACGTTTTCATTTGATTACCTTGTCTTCTTTAACTATTGACAATTAGTAAATGCGTATTGCTGCATGAAACAGTCAGTTGCTTAAAGAGCTCCAGTTTCCATGAATGTCCAGTTTTACCTTGGCGAAAATTGAATTTTTCAGTGAGTCGATTGCTCAATGGTTCCCAACCTATTATGAACTGATTAGCTAAAAATGAGCTGGAAATTGTCGAGAGATATTTTTTTGTGTAGCAGAAGCTGTTTATAAAAAAACGAAAATTGCGTCGTCTTCATTATAACCACCTATGCCACAGAGCGCGCTAAACGTTTAGCCACGCAGAAGATCTACTAAAATGATCTTGTAGAGGCAGGGGGGAGGGAGGGAACTTGTTCTAAGGGCCTTTCTCAAAGCGCTGATCACAAAGATCGTTAGCTGTTATGAAGCACATAAGATTTCTCATTACAATTATTCTGCTGTTGCGAGTTAATCTAATATTGTTATTAGAAGAAAACGTTGTTTAGAATGTTTTTTGCTCTACCATTTGGAAGGATAAGCTTCTGTCCTTGAGCTTAACTTCTGTCCCTGAGTTTCTGTCCTTGAGCTATAAAGTAAATCGAATGCTTGTGTTCCGGAAGAATTTAGCAGCATTCTCAACAATTCACTAGGGCTTGAGTAAACAATAAACACGCGTAAATAAAATAAAAGAAAATTTCCTTAATCACTATAATGTAATATATTGTTTTAAAATGTACTCAACTTATTTAAATTATGCTACTTGATGCGGTAGTATGGGATTTAAGTGATTATGGAGAATGCGGCCTAACCATTTTTAAGACCGAAAATTATTTGTATTTGTGTGCTTTCCACCTTCAAACTGAAATGAAGACTTTTTCGGAATCGAAAAGGACTCTGGCCGTGTGTTCGTTAAGAAGCAGTTAGAATCGCGTACGGCCTTCCACTTTGTCGCAGTGGCTACAGATGATGGTGTACCGGCTAACCGTAGCCTGGGCGTAAAGGTACGTTACATATTTTTTCCATTTTTTATTTTGTTTCCCACTGTTATTATCTGACATGTCTTTTATCAAGCTTAACTTTCCTTCCGAATACTCGAACAAAACCAGATGCAGCAGAAAATCAATATAGTCAAAGAATGACTGTCTGTGTTTGCCTCTATATTTATGCTTCAATCGTGGCTGACAGTACTAGAATACCGATTACTAAAGCTCAAACGACTTGCAGGTATAAATTACATGTTGTTTGTTTTCTTGGTAAACCTTTTACGCAAGGTAACTGTGCACGTTCGTGAAGTAAACAACCACCCACCCGTATTCTCACATCAATTCTACGAAGGCTCCGTCTTGGAAAAGCTAGCTTCAGACCGAGTTGTCATTCGGCTGCACGCGACCGATCTCGACCTTCAGAATAATACGATTTCGTACGACATAACCAGTGGAAATGAGGATCAAGTATTTACGATCGACCATACTACCGGGGAAATACGAGCCAATCCGGCTAATGTGCACCTGCTGGACTATGATAGAAAGCAACAGTATATAATGCTTGTTCAAGCAAAAGATTGTAAGTAATAAAATAAGATTATATTTTGTTTTTTACGTTATTATTATTTTATCTTCAAAAGGTCACAAAGGAACTCAAAATACATTTGCCTAATTTATTTCATCACATTCTGACTTCTACTTTAGGCTGAGTGCGAAAAATTATCGTTTTATACGCTACTTGATTTGTACGTTATTTGTAAACTTGTACGCTACTTAGTTTCCATTTCTCACTTCAATTATGTATCGTTATGAAACGGATTGGCGCGCATATTAGTAAATGCTTAGGTTACGTTAACTACAATAACATCAGGTAAACTAAAAATCATGTACAATAATAAATACGCTTTGTCAGCTCTATTCATAGGAATATAAAAATAAATCAGATAAATGTTGTGCCGTTCTGTTACAAAGCTCATGTGACGCCTTTGATTGGCCTTTCAATGGTAACAATCAATGTTATTGATGCCAATGATCATCCACCCGTGTTTTCGAAGACCGCTTATTCCGCTTCTCTACCAGAAAATCTTCCTGCTGGGCACTGCTTCCTACACGTACGTATGCACTCATGCAAAAAATGGGGCCACTGCTGCCCAGTATTTTCATTTACATTATATAACCGTTAAATTAATGATATATAATGCCAACGAAATGGGTACTTGTTAGCCTATGCACCTCGTACAGAGATTTGAAATCTATCAGGGAGCACAATTTTCAGCCATTTGGTCTGTTCGCTTGGAATATGTATGCAGTTAATTTTCTCTTTTCATATTGATTTCGCCGATAATCTTCTATGAAAGGATGCATCAGCGATTACGTTAGATTTTGGAAACAGCTTTTTGTTTGCAAACTATTAAAGGTCTGTTGACCAATTTGTCGTCTGCTAGCAACTTAGCGTTACATAACATTAGAAAACTCATTGAAGTAGAATCTACATATATATTTTGGCAATGCGAAATTTCGAAATAAAAAAGACTTAAACAAATAAAATAACAAATCACAACTGGTTAACAGAAGAGGCAACCAAGAACCGATTTACTGAGGAAGCCTTAATGAATATGATATGGATTTCATAATTTAAAATGTACGACAATAGTAAAATATGATACCAAATATAAGACCTCGATTCCGATTTTTTTTTTTTAGTTTTTATTTGGAACCCTGATGTTCTAATTTATACAATAACATATTTTGCTTAAAGGTCTTATTACAATGCAAAACAAATAAGCCATTGTTTACATATGGTTTTGATTTGCCGCGCAGTGCTTGGGAGAGAGGCTATTTGAGATCCACACACTCTTCGTTTCTGGTTAGAAATTGTAGGATCTGGTACAAGTTGTCTTGTTGATTGCTTGTTGATACTTTTGAATTAATGATGTTGAATCTAATAAGAATTAGTGGAATTTCTCATCAAACTTCTTAGTGTTTTATCTAAAACATGGATGCTGCGCGGATGTTGCGTAGTTCAATATATATCTTCTAGTTGGGTAATTACGTTTGATATGAGCCCGTGTAGGTTATCACTTGGATTGCTGTCTATTTAGGTTCAATGGTGTCCGTTGGTCGACAAAATATATTGTTCTTGGGTAAATTTAGCTCGGTCAAACTTCGCTATAGGAATGCTAAAAGTAAAAAGGATACATGGCTGGTTGGCCCTCCCAGCTATATTTTCTACGGACAAATCGGGCAGTATCGACTACTTACACGATGGCGACTATAGAAACAACAATGTGACTCTAAAAGGACCTGTTACCACTCACCCAATAAGAATGGCTGCTGTAGCTAGGGGTACTGCTGCTGGGGTTCCGCTATTGAGTAAAGAAATAGCGAATATGGTATTAACCGTCTTCTAAGACAGATAATGCCTTGTTAAGACAAGTCAAAGCTGACATCGGTAGTAAATAATAACACAAGGCCTAGTAAAGCGCATTTACAGATCGCGTAACATGAGCGTCTTCTGGTGCTGAGCAAGCTCACCCCTGAGAATGAGCCTTTTGGTGAGAAATAATTATGGCCGAGTAAGTAATATTGTCAAGCGATTAAGGTCAGCGTTGGCTATGCAATGCGCGAGTCATTTTCCTGTATGCTCTTTATATATGCATGTAGCAGCAGCAGCAATATCTTTAATCTCTCAATCGTTCCCGACAGACTGCCGGCGAAACGGTTCATCTAACGAGACTGTTCTTTCTATTTTCTGAGCAAAATTGTATTCGGCTTGTGAGAACTATGTGATGATTAGATACTAGGTAGCTAACAGACTGAGGCTATTCATTTGGATTGGAATTCACGTCGAGCTACGATGTCGTTTGTGCAAACATGATTATTCTGTCTGTGTGGCGTGCAGTGGACGGGTGTGGGGCTCCTTCCAAGCGATTAACAGAAGAATGACTCCACTTGTGTATAAAAGTTCACCAACGAGACGAACGTGGGTAATGAGAGAAGACGGTGAGGGGGTTGCGACAGGGAGCAAAGAAGCGAGGAGTTCGACAGCAGCTAAGCGACGACAGCGGTGGCCACTGCTGCCGCTTCTGTAGGAAGTGGACGTTGAGGTCACTTCAGGACAGCTATCCTTGGGTTGTCTACAGTAAACTGTGTGACGAAGCTCATGAGCCCTTAACCCCCTCGATTTAATCAATTGTTCTCACTAGCTACATGTCAGTATGAAGGGACTTTCCAGCGTGCGCTATTCGTTCACAGTCACTACGGCTTTATCACCGCAGCACAATACATAGCAAAGTCAATCCAACCCTTGAAATGGCTTTCGGTTCATTTGACAAGCGCAATTACGTGTACGATTATATTTCCTGAAGTTCGGATAGTAATAGTTCTCCAGCTGGATCGTACTCTCCCTGCACGATATGTCTTGTTAAAGAATTAGAATAGGAGAGTAATAGACAGTAGAAACATTGAGAGAATAAGTAAAAGGTTTTATTTGACAGATTTAAAGCGAGCAGAGGAAATATGAATGACCAGTTATTCCTCTGAGTAATGTGCCATACACGCTTGTTTGTCCCCTTGAGCTAATGTAAACCGTTACCTGACTAGCTTGCCATATGAAGCAAGTAAAATCCGTAGAAGAAAAAGCGTGAAAAATATTTTCGAGCGCAGTCTGTCCACTTTAACGGTTGTCGTATACTTGTTAAAAACTATTCTGCGACAGGTGCCAATTTAGTTAATGCAGTCTTAAATACGCAACCTAAAAGAGAATTCGCAAATGAGTTTATTTAAATCCTTCATCTATAATGAGATCAGATTAGTTTTTCAAACTAGCTTTTATTGGCCCTTTTATTAGGTTATGGTATCGTAGGCCTTATATAAGTAACATTACAGTACTTATAAGTAAACACTGACAACGTGAATTGCATATTAGTAGAAGTATCAGCCTTTATGGCAGTGAATTGATTCTGATTACTTTTCGCAATGAATCCAACGACGACAACATTGGGCCACAAAGCTTTACGCTAAATGAGCTCTGGCATAATCAAGTTTTTGATCTAACATATGCAATGTATTTGCAGATCACAGCACGGTCAGGCGATTCAGTGGACACCTTAATGTACAAGATTTTAAACAAGGATATTCCATTTACAATCAACTCGAAGACAGGCGACGTCTGCACGGCTAAAGTGCTGGACCGAGAGTTGAAAGAGAACTATGAGTTTGCAGTCTCTGCTGAAGATGGAAAATTCGACGCAAAGGTGAGGTCAGAATGACACATGAATGCGCTAGACAAGCATCGATTTCCTTTTTCGTACGTTTCTTCAAATAGCTCTGTCTTTGCCTATTAGACGAGCATTATCTACATATATGGACATATTTGATCGTTACCAACTCCTTCTTTGTTATTATGCAACAGGTGCCTATATCCGTAGAAATTACCGACGAAAATGACAATCCGCCACGTTTTGAGAAAGAACGCTACGTGGTAACTATTCCGACGGACTCACAGGCTGGCCGTTCTGTTATCCAGCTGCATGCTGTGGATCTTGATACAGCTAACAATGGTGAGATCACGTACTGGATAAAAAACACTCATGGAATCTTCGAAATTGATCCTAAGACTGGTCTGGTTCGTCTCGCCTCGGCCTTAACAAACGCCCGTAAGGTGCCAACAGGTGGAAACGGCAATGCTACCTTTGAAATGGAAGTGTTTGCTCAAGATCATGGTGCTACATCTAACATTGGCCGTACAATGCTTTACGTCCGTATCTCCAATACGCTCAATCACCCACCGGTATTTGAAAGGTTCGCGTACAGCGTCTTTGTTGATGAAAATGCAGCCAACGTACCCCTGGTTCAGGTAAACTGTTTCATATGCACGCCTATTGTTAGCGCGTGAGACAGTATAATACGACTGTGCCTTTGGTTTACAAATAGGTAAAAAAAGTTCGAACTGTATATATGCTGACAGTGACCTTTAGTAAGTAGTAATTGTTCGCATTCCTAATAAGGATGGGAGTCATATTGTCCCTCCTTTAAGCAATGATTTTGCATCCATTCCAATATTTCTTTAGCAATAGTATTAGATTCAAGCGTCGCGTCTACATATCCGCTACAAGAATGATTAAGATTTTACGATTTGTACGAGCATTCTGTACTAGTCGGTCAGTCAGTCTGATTTCCGTTAACTAAATTGACAGGTGCACGCAAGTGATCCCGATTCTGGAAGGGCGGGCAGTGTTCTTTACCGAATCGTGCGGTCAAGTATGAAAGGCGCTTTTAAAATTGACGAAACCTCAGGGAAGATTACTCTTGTTCAAGCACTCGATTATGAAAAAACAAAACATCTCGAGATTTTTGTTGAAGCACGTGATGACGCTAAAGAACCGCAGTATGCTACAACTGTTGTTCAGGTCACAGTAAACGATGTCAATGATAATGCACCTGAGTTCCTGTCGCTTCCTCGAGTTCTTCGTGTTCCCGTTTCTACTGGTCAAAACGAACTTGTGTATCGGGTGCAAGCGCACGACCTTGATTCCGCTGCTTCGGGAAATAATGATATCCGTTTTGAGCTGAACCCGCCTTCTTTGCGTTTCTTAATTCATCCAAAAACGGGGCAAATATTCGCTACCCAACCTCTCGTCGTTGGCGCAGAGATTTTACGTATAGTAGCCACAGATAGTTCCACCTATCCGTTGAGCAAGTAAGTTTCCCATTATAATTATTATATGTTATATCTAGTTAGTTTAATGAAACAATTTCCTTAAAGTGGGGTCACAACGAATTTAGAGAGGTATATCAGTAAACAATTTTTAGCAAAAAAAAATTACACATTTTTCTTTTTCTCTTCCCGCTTGCTCTCTCTCTCTCTCTCTCTCTCTTTCGCATTACAGTCATGTGCAAATGCGAGTGGAAGTGTTTACTGAAAGTATTGATAATCCATCACCAGCTTTCAGTTCAGCTCAATACTCAATTGATGCTCCAAGTGTATTAGAGGCGGGTGCTAGTGTATTGGACGCCCGTGCTACCATTCCCGACGGTTCTCCGGTCTGGTACAACATAACCGGCGACGACGGTTCACATGTCCGAAAATTCTCGATCAATCACGATACGGTAAAAATCGTTTCCTTTTTCTAATCTACCTCTTTGTAGTTTAAGAAAAGGTGGGTATCACTTATAAAAAATATCTTAAGGATAAGCCTTCTTATGTCAATGCTATGTAGACACATAGAAACCCAATGATATGCGTTTTTATTATAACGAAATTAGCATGTTAAAAAATTATAATTATCTAACCTGCAGGGATTTAGGTTAAAGTTGACAAACACGGAAACTACAGGTAATGCGTCGGAGCCTGCCTCGGCTCTCTAACATCTACAGTAATATGATCAATATCAACCGGGTGCTCAATAGGAAACCTGCTGCTTTCCTTTATACACGCTTTTTCTTTGTTTTACCATTTCAGCATGTTTAGGTGTGATATTGTAAACAAGTTATTGGTACAAAAGAAGAGTTTTACCTTCTGCGTTGCTGTCTTTCTTTCTGGTACTACTCGACGTTTACGTATGTCTCGTAGAAGCTACGGCGTGCTACACTTGTATAACGTAATTTTCGTTTCACAAAGGATAACTGTTTACAACTACAGAGACTGATGCGGAAGATGCCACAGAATTCAATTTTAAGCTATCAGAAGCAGAAGCTGACCTAGCGAGCCTTTGGCTCGCAACATTTTGGTTTTCTCCGTTTTCCGATATCGGAATCTACTGTTTCCTTCTCTATGATGGGTGCTTAGAGGCGTTGTAACATGCCTCAAAGACATCCCGATAGGTTCTGATCGATTTAAGGCGAGCTAACCAAAATTTATTCAGAAAAAATAATTTCTACGTAACATACAGGGTGATAAATGAACATCTGTAAAATGTCTACAGTAATCGGACGTTCAACACGGTCCAGCAATATCGCTTAATTGAAGAAGCGCCAATTATGATAAAGATATTGCATGTTGTGCGAGAATCGAGCACCAATACGTATACATACGTATGTACGCATGTACCTATATATACAGTGTGGCGCGTCTAAATTATATTATGCGTTGTTTACATGAATGAAGTAGACAAAATCAGATACTTCAACGACATTTTTTGTATCGGCTCCAAGTGTAAATTGTTTGTTAAAAATAATCACTCATAGTTTCAGCCCGCTTACTACTCATTTTTAAAATATTCTTTCTTTAATTTACGAACAACTTTTTAATAGTAACTGTGCGTCTAGTGCTATCAGTAGTCGTAAAGTCACTTAAATATCCGTTATGTACGCCGCGCATAGAAGTTACAGCGGAATTACATTTTTTATTATTAATTTATTTTATTATTAATTATTTGTTATTAATTAAATTTTAAAGCCCCCAAAAAACAAAAGAGTAGAAACTGCCAGAGGTTGAATAAAACGTAGTAAAGTTTTAGATAGACTAATCATTAGAGCTCATCTAGAGGACCCAATTAGTATTACTTTCTTTAAAAAAAAAATTATATATTTTAGGTATATCAAGAAATAATGGCCTTTTAAGCTCTTTGAGAGTTTCCTCTTCAAATCTAAACCCTAGTCCGACTCTTTTGGTTTGCTTCATGAATATATTATTTGGAGTTTTTGCAAGTCGCATGAAAACGAGTTTTTGGTTTCGTTAGAGTTTCGCCTATCGCGAAGAAATTAGTAACTGATCTTCACTCAAATTTTAGAAACGACGCGCGGTATTCGCCATGACGAATTGATTGCTTTGTTTTATCCAAAAAAATTGAATTCTGGTGAAAAAATGATGCCTGAAGTAGCGGATGATGCCCGTTATAACAAACAGCGTTCGTTACGTTTGTTAAATGACGTACATAAGCAGCATCAAGAGGTGCAGTATTTAACGATGTTATGTGTATCGATTTTAGGGTCGAATTGTGACTACATCTCGTTTGGACGCTGAAAAGCAATCTCTGTACCATTTTATGGTGATCGCCACGAATCGACGAAATTCTGCAGAAGTGACAGAAGCTGGAGTGGTTATTCGTTTAGCAGATAAAAATGTCCGCTGTCCGAGATTCCCGTTTTCGGAGTATTTTGCGTCGGTTCAGGAAAACTCACCACCTGACAGCCAGCTCCTAGCTAATCTACATGCCGAGGATGCTGAAAAATTCGACAAGGTAGATTAGTATTTCCGTTTGAAACATGTGTCATTCATATTTTCATTTCCCGGAGAAAACAATAGTGTTTAATCTTTGTTAATTGTATTCTTGTCTTAATTGAAACTATACGTTCTCTTAATGTGAGAAAAAAATTCTAGGAGTCAATGTACATTCCTTCCCGTTACAGATTTCCTATCAGATTACTGAAGATAATTCAGCGGACAATTTCTACCTGGACACCTCTTCCCTGAATACTGTTTCACTACGTGTCAAAAAGCCCGTCGACCGAGATGCCATGCCAACTTTTCTTCAAGGCGTCTTCACTCTTACCGTGGCTGCGGCTAACTCGCGTTGCGCAGGCAATACTCGTGTCCGAATCCATATCGACGATGTCAATGATAACAGCCCAGTGTTTGACCAGGCTGAGTACCATGTGGAACTCGATGAGGTATGTCTGGGTCATTATGTTTCATGTAGGACTATGAACTGAACGCAAAAAAATCGGTTGTTCCATAGGCATACGTATATATTCATGTAGAGAAAGAGTAAAAGGTGAATCAAAAGCTTTCTTGGTGCCATGCGCGTTGTTGTGTTTTGGCGAATATGAAAAGAGTACCCTGTCCTTTCTAACGTGTGACTTTCCACTGAGAGCAAGTTACAGAGGAAAAAATCAAATAAATACAAGATACGGTATGTAGATTTCCCGACTATCTTCCATGTGGCCGCCATATGTGCAGAGCATAATAAGAGCGACTAAAATCATCCTCTCCTACAAGCTTAGCTTAATATTATTTTAAGGGAGACATTGATTGCGTGACTTGAGATACTATAACTGCCGAGTCTAACCTAACTAGGTCGACGACTAATGCTAGAAATGGTGTTTGTGACCTTATTCTGATAATAATCGTCGGTGCAAGGAACAGAACTTTTGTTTGCGCTGTTCGAAAAAAAGGCATTCGCAAAGCATGAAGTTATTAGTCCGATCGTATTTTTCGCATACCTGACGGTGGAGAACGACAGCTTTGGATTGAGGCCAATAAAATGTATCATTCACTCTGTTTACTCCCAAATTATCGATATTTCTCAGTAGTTGATGATTCGATAAGGGGGGCTTACGTGCAACAATTAAGATGCACTGATTTTTGTCGAGTGTATTGATAAAAGGAAAACTCTTTAAATACCTGGATAATAGAATTAGCTAAAATAAACTTAAAGGTTCCATAGGACATTTTTCTTACATAACTTGCATCGTGCGTGTTGAAGAAAGAGATGAATCGTTCACTACTAATATATTGTCTAGATTTCCTCCTGCTCGCTCAATGGATTTAATGATGTATATAGGTAGTAGAAGAAACATTCCAGTAATGTTTCTTCTACTCTTCCAAATTTCCCTTTGTTTAGTACTTGCTAATAGTTTGTATGACTTTAACCGTGTCTGAAGTGTGGATTAGGACTGAATTAGTGCAGTTTTCGAAAAATCATTAACACCGTATCCTTACAATCGTGTACTATTTTGACTGCTTAGAACACTCCACCAGGTCATGTGGTTGTGCATGTGTCAGCAACTGATCGCGACGGCCTAGACGCTGGCAAATTGCGTTATTACGTTATGGAAGGAGATCCTGAGGAAGAGTTTACGCTGGATGAACATTCCGGTATTCTCTCGGTTAAGACAATACCCGATCGCGAAAGGACGCCGAACTACAGCCTCAAGGTTTGTATCACATTCTAGAATTTTGCGAAATCCGAAATGAACATAAGTTTTTAAGAACTTATGTTATACACTATTCAAAACACAACTTTAAAGTTGTGTTTTGTATAGACAACATACTGTAATAACTCACAGATTACGTAAGTATTAAGGGTGCACCCAATGCATGTTACTGTTGGCTGATAAATATGAGGTGCTTGTTTTTTTTTCATCAAAATAGTTATTCGCTCACAATTTTCCGTCGCCCTTCATCACTTTTTTCCACCTCTCAATCAATATATTTGCTTTCACTACTAATTTTCGGGTCTAATACTGAAGAACTCGTCCGTATTTTTTTGAAAACCTTTTTATTCTCCGGGGTTCTGTTGCGGATCCCATTTGCCAGTAATCAGAAAAAATGGTGACCTGTCGGTGCGAGGTTCAGGAAGTATAATGGGCACAGAAAAACTTCCCACTAGAACTGTTGCTGGGTCATCTTAATGATCTTCGATATAGTGCAGTATTATAGTTCACAAGAATTGTTGTGCCTCGTCGATTCGGCGTTTTCTCTTGAATATCCATGTTCACTGTTTAAAGTTGGGCTACATACCGCTCCTTGTCGATCGTCTCGGTTTTGCTAAGCATTTTTGAATGTACGAGACTCTTCTAATTTCATCAAACGCAAATTATAGTATGCCTCGCGTTTAGACCTCAATGAACTCCGGGCCCAAGCATATCCACTGATTCCTTTCTCTGCTTCATATTGATGTGGGTAAACCACTTGTCGTCACCTGCAGTGACTTTTTTTTTATATGAATCGGTCATTGTAATATCGAGTGTGTTCTCAAAGTCAATGAGAACCGTCTTGTATACTTCACTTGCCCCCTAATTTTTTTTAAAACTATCGACTGAAAATAAGATATATAAGAATATAAGAGATCTATAAAATAGGATATAAAATATGATAAGATAATTGCAGTTTATTTTTACGGCTCATTCGCAGCTCTTTTTACAGCCTGCCTACCTTTAAAAATACTGTCAGGCGGCCCTCGTCGACTTCGGTGGTCGGAGCAAAGTAAATCTGCAAGATTCAAGATGCCATTTTTAAACCATGGATTTTTGGGTAGTTCTTTAAGACATGGACTTTAACAGCGTTCGATACAATTGTCCCGGATTGTTCCATAAGCTCGGTAAAAAACGAAGTGCAGTAGGTGTTAAAAGCGCATTCTTTTTAACTTCAAAGATTCTACCCAAACCTAAAATAAAAATCTAGTTAACACACAACGAAATTATAACTATAAAGAAAATAGAACTTCTTGAATGTATTATAAAATGTGGCCTGGTGAGAGAATATAATATTTAAGGCATGTAGTGCTCCTAGCAAAAGCATAGATGCGAATGATGTAAACATCTCAAGAGCGAAAGTGTTAAAAACCAGTGGGGAGGTGACTAGATAATAGGGCCCAAAAGACAAAAACGCATTGAAGCAATCGAGGAGGATTTTCACAAAGACAGAGCTCGAGGCCTAAAGGCTCTGTCGGCCAAAGCTGGCACTTAACTTTAACATATCGCATATGATAACACAAACAGTGCAAATTCCGAACTGAGTAAAAATGGCTTGCCCGTAAATATACCTCATGTTAGTTAGAAATGCGTTATTTATTCGAGCGTGCTTAAATAGCTTTAATCGACAAAAAATCCCCTTGGAGCATACAGCCACTATACACAAGATTCAATTTCTACCACCAGCCGGATAGACGTGAGGCGAAAGGATGACGTCGCCCTGGAGTTAGGCAACACAATCGGGTAGGTTCGAACGTAAAATGATGGTAGTACTTTCAATAGACACCAAAGCCGAAAATAAAACAGTGAATACCACCCGGTATCTTGAGATTCTCAAAAGACTTATAGATCGTTGGCATTGTCGTCAAAGGTACGAGGTAATGACAGCGTCATTCTCGCCATGCCTTAACTACTGTCTGGCTTGAGAAATGGAATGTACAACGTTGACCTCAGCTGGTTTTCCAGATCTACTTCTGTGTAATCACTAGGCTTTTTAGAATTAAAAAGGGCAATTGGCGAGTGAGCATCACCCACTATTAATTTACTTCAAAAAGTTATAGATAAACAAATTGTTCGTAGGATCGCAAATGGGAGATATATGGACGTAAGGAAGCTGCCGGAGTGCTAAGTCAAGTGTACTAAAAATCGAGTACCTTTAACATATTTTAAAGATCATTTTAGCCAAAACTCGCTTACAACAACTCAATGGTTTTAAGCGTTTTATTGCGTGGAAATAGTTCTTCACTTATTAAAGGAAATTTTTCAAATTAGCTTCATACGAGTAACATAGTTCCTCTGCTAATAATTTCCATAAACATTAGCATTCAAAAAGGTACTATTATAAATTGAGCACGCATCGCTGCACGACATGTATTATGAGATGTGCACAGCATAAGAGGTTGCTTAAAGGAACCATGTACCCGTAAACTTAAACAGCTGTTTAATGTTCTTGTAATGGATCTCTCTACCTCTTTCAACAATATAATGGCAAGTAACGTTGATTACGAAAGCACGGAAACAAGGGCAGCTATCGTAGTGGCTACATTTCCTTATGGCAGGTAAGTTATGCGTGCATACGCCTGAATAAACTGATTGACAGCGTACATTAAAAGTATCACATCAAAGAGCTGATGAGAAAGTGGTAGGAGTATGTAAGTAGGAATTCTAAGTGAAAGAGCAGAGTAGACTGAGAAAAGAGGAAAAGCAAGCCAGGCAAAAGTGATGGGGAGCAAAGCAGAATGCAAATGAAAATGGACCTTCTTACCATTCCCAAGTGGAGTCAGCCATCCGTGGTGCTATCGTCGTTCTCCAGGTTGACATTGGGGAAGCTGGTGAAGCTCCTACCAGTAGCGGCTATGTACTGACTTAGGCCTGGAAAACAGCTTTAATGTATTCGCACCAGTCTAAAGGTGAAACTTCCCCAATTTAGTAGTTACCCAAAGTTTTTAACTGGTGGCACTTATGTTTTCCACCAGCTACATTGCCCGGACCTAGAAATAGTGCGTTTCTAGAGGCATATCGTTATGCGGTAATTGCATCATCGCATTATTTTTTTTTTGCTTCATTTTGTTCAGCCACTGTGCCGAACATTTACTACACAAGTGAGGAAAAATGTTTTGAAAAATACTGCTTATCAACTTTCGCATTTAGCGTATGGTTAGAACGTCATATCATGCAGTAAATCTCGTCAAACCTATGGTGGGATACATTTATACCTGTCATGTTGTACCATGTTTGAGTTAAGCTGATACAATATATAATTCAAGCAGTTTGTGGTAGACTGGAATCGGAACTTATGCCAAAAGCACGCTTCTGAAAACGGGGGGCAAGGTGAATAGATCGTAGCCTCGGGTAGAGCCTACAGAGAGAAGATATTGTTGGGAATTTAAGCGATGTTCGTCTGGTAGTGTCACGTCTGCAAGGAAAAATCTCTTGAAAACTTTGTACCGAGAGTGGAAGTTACAAAATGGAGGTTGGACTGGTGCTGCCACTCATGTTTGTTCAACGACATAGTTTTTGTATTTCATGTAGCTGTTAGAACAAATTTCACGGTTTTCACTACAAACGCAGTCAGATTGAGCGACCAGAGCAGCAAGTCGAGTTAACACCCCCAGCTCCTAAGAGGCCTATGTGGTTGTTGAAGAACAGTTACTACCCGTTACCCAGACAGATGCTCAAGAAGGCTGCTAACTCTAGAACCATATCACTTACATAATTCTTCCATTTCTATAATCACCGCATCTTTCATGTTTTCATTGCGTGCTAGGCATTTTTTGGACAAAGCCGACCTGCACTTATATGGATAGAAACACTTTTTTCTCGTTTCTTTTTCGTTTTTCGTCGCTTATTTACCCCACATATTATGATATAGTTGTAGTTTTTTCAGTTGATTAATTTCCTAGCCTTCCATCTCTCCCCTAGAAATTACCTCTAATAAGTCATTGGATAAGGATTTTTGCGTCCAGTTTATTTATGTGGTTCTTTCTTATTTTTCCTACAAACAATATTTTTGGTAGTATAGTGTCCCGCTGCTTATTGGCTGATTCCCTGATGAATAGCACATGGCACAGGTATTATGCTTTTCGGCAACTTTCAGAATCGGGATTCGGAATAGTAATTTTATTTGTAGCGCAGTGGAGACAGTGTGAGGAAGAGAGAACAGAGATATTTAAACTGATTAAATCGCATTGTAAACGGTAAAATCGAAAAGGTTATCGAATAATAGCCGGGCGGATTTCTTACATACATTACTTTCTAAATATTTTTGGCTGTCGATGAGCATGGATGAATTGATAAGCTTTGTTAGACCAATACGAATTACTAAGAAAAAAACGTCTGATTCAATTTTTAGACTATTTGTGACATAAAGTTTTAATTTTTCTGAAATGTTATGTGTATGATACCTCGTTCGAAGACTCAACTTGGTAAGATAGTGGTCATATTTTCAACGTATCCGTTTGTATTCTGTTGTTAACATATTCACCTAGATTGTGGCCATCGATTCGGCAAATAATACAGGCCGTGCTACGATTCATATCAAAATCTTGGACACAAATGATTGGACCCCAACTTTCCTCAACGATACGTTTTTCCTCAATGTCACCGAAGGAAGACCGAGTCTCAACCAGTTCGTCCAATTACCCGTCGCTGATTACGACGATGGTAAGCATTTGTTTCTTATTTGGAACCTTTAAACGCTTATATCCGCGCTCTAAATAAATTAGCGAAATAAAAAATCTGACTCGTACACAGAACTTAAATATTTTTAAATGACATCGTTTTGCTTCAGTTGTGCATGCTGGCAATAATCTCTGTAATCTTGTTTTTATTTTACCTTTAGCAGTTAATACCGGCATGATTATTATTATTATTACATATACGGCAAATCGTACGGGAACTGTTTTGTGTTGCATATTTGATTAGCGCCGATTCGTCGTTATGGTATGATACATGGTAGACAACGAATGTGTCTTCTAACCCAATAAAAACCTAATGAGCCAGCAGATCATGGCTCAGAAACTATGAAGCAGTTGTTCAGTCGACCTTTCAAAAATTGTACACCTGTTTAAATGTTATAGACAGGACTGGGTAGATTATATTGCATGTTCGTAACTTGATAGAAAGCAGAGCGAATAGGATTATTGTCGGCGAATTGTCAGTACCTAAATTATTTTTGTATTATGTTATGATAACGCTCCTGCGAATCTACATAATAGTCTTTTGATGAGACCTTATTTCTGCGTTCCGTGAAGTATAAGTAGTAGCCCGTGTCGATGTTGAGGGCTGGGACTTAGTCGATACATTACTGCCGATGCCGTTTCCATTTCAGGCATCAACCGACAAGTGGAGTTATATATAGTCGACGGAAACAACGAGAACCAGTTTCGTCTGGGAGTAAATGAACATGGAGCACTTTTAAAAATTGTTTCGGAACTAGACCGGGACAAATATAAGGTCAACTAAAGATAGTAGAAAACATTTTTACTGTTACCTTTATTAACTATTATTTTTTATTGTTAGCTCATTTAGAATTATAGAGATTTCATTATTAGGCTAACGATTAAGCAGTGCGACAGAATTTTAGCAAAAAAAAAGAATAGACAAAGTCGTCCTTTCTGGACGAGGCATGGACTATACGCTTTTCAATAATATAATTTTCTGGAAAGCCTTGCATGCACCATCTCCAACGATATTTAACCATGGATTATTGTCAACAAGCGGCTCTACTTTAAATATTTACTGCACGTGCTTGCAAAAAAAGATGAAATTACATTCACGTCACATTTAGGTACGGCATTAGTAACGTGCCAGGGTATCAGTTTTTCCGCTGTTATTATTTAATCACTATTTGCATTTGTTGCACCTTAATATTGATCAGGTCGATGACACAGCCCTTCACTTTGTGATCGTGGCTGCCCGTGACATGGGCACTCCGTCACGAACAGGCACGACAACGGTGGCTGTTGTGATACACGATGTCAATGACAGCCCGCCAACATTTGAACGTGAGGCGTATTACCAATTTATTTCGGAAAGCGCACCAATCGGAACTGTTGTCGAAACTGTAAAAGCAACAGACCCTGACACAGTCGCTAATACAAAAATGCGATATCGATTTGCTGGAAATGATCCGATGCGTAAGTGCACGTTGTCTCCTATTCAATTTCGTCAAAAACATTTGATCTTGATGAATCAAGCCTCAGCCGCAGAGCGCTTTCGGAAACCCACTTAAGCATTGCTCTTGTTCGCGCTGTCCTATCACGTTATTCGCATACGAAATTATTTCAAAAATGGGGGCGTCTTATAACACTGTATATAATTAGACTGAGGTTAATGATTACCCGTTGTAAACACTTACAGTACCGTTCGAAGTGGATCCCATCACCGGTGCCATTAATATCAGTCGTCCACTAGATATATCTGAGTCACAGGAGTATACACTTATCCTTGTAGCAAGTGATGGAAAATGGGAAGCCCGGGCCTCTTTAAAAATCTACGTGCATGAGGCTGAGGAACGAGACCCCCGATTCAACCAGAACACATACAAATTTTCCGTTCTGGAAAACGTTGCTGGCGCTGTCGTTGGACAGGTAATACATACTGAGTTTTCCTTTATATTCCTTTTCAGTAACGTTTGTTCTAGGCAGTTGGTGTCAATAAAAGTAAAGAGGTACGTTTAAAATACCCAGAAGCTATCGAAGTTTGAAATATATATTTCGGGTTGAATGTTTCGTACAATCTCAACAGATTGGGGTCGGATAATTAAAAAGGTGTACTTTCATTAAACTATTCTTCTTACTGTTTCTAGCATTTCCATATCGATATCATTTTACTATTTACTTCTATATAACATTACATACTAATGCTCTACTAACTACTATTCTGGCATCCATGATATAAAGAGTAAAAAAAATCTCGTGTGTTCTAAATACATGTTTCAGTTGATACTAATCTGTAATATTAACAAAGGCTATCGCGAGAGTATTCTATCTAATCTGAAACTTAGCCTTCTTAAATGGTTGCATTGAGCTAATCTTTTTAACTAATGTGTACAAATGTAGTTGAAATAATTGACAATTTTTAGCAAAAAAAGTATATCACTAATAACAATGGCATATGAATATAAAAATTTTTGCACGCTAGCTGGAACGGCGGAGAGTCTCCAAAAAGCAGACCAAACGTCATTTTTAGGAAACGATATCATCACTGCTTCGATATTTACGGTGCTTGCTACAAATATAAAATGACACTGACTGAAGAAAGTGTAATGGTATTTATTCAACTTTTTATATTCTTAAAAAATCAAAACCGATCCCATGAATTCTGTTATAACTGGTCCTTTCAGTGTGGCATGCTGTGTAGCAATCCATCTTCTTGAACCTTGTTAGCAAAAGGTCGCTTGCACTTTGCGTTGTCCTCATAGTGGATCTCGCAATGGAAACTCAATTCATACCACATATTATCATCTTACTATGCAAAACCATGTAGTAAAACACTGCTTTTATATCTATCCCCAGCATATATGCTGGACGGTGTTTTTCTTTGTGGGTGACATACGGTACATGAAGAGGCGTAAAAGATCAGCGGTACAAGATCTTTAAAAGCGTTTTAGTTCGCGACAAAAAACAACGTTGACTATCTTTATCATGCACGACTAAAAGCTGCTATGGAAATTGCAGGGGTCCTTAAAAGTTTATCCATACACCAACGAAACTGTATCATCTCCTTCTTACGTCCCGGTTTTCATTTCGTTTTTAAGTTTTTTCTTAGTCATCGTTGTTTCAGTATAGTGAATAATTTCTCTTTTTGCGATGAGGTTGTGCTGCTTGTATATGTTCCACCTTTGTTGTTCTCAGCTAAACTACTTGTATATACTCATTGACAGCATGTATATTGATTGCTAAATTGTCGTTCCTGTGGCGCGATTGTATATTATGTGGATCCCATGTATACCGTCTGTCCGTTCATCTACATTGTCTTCGATAGTCCAAAAAGCAAAAGGAAGCGCTGGGACCAGCTTAAACAGCCGAGTATTGCTTTTGAGCCATTTTGATGAATTTTCGAGTCTTAAGTTTACGCCTTACTATGATATTCCGGTTTGCCTCGCGGAAATCTGTGTCGAATTTTTTAGGCGTACGGGAAAAGGCAATAGCAATGTTAAGAAAAAAACAAGTTATCTTCGTTAAAATTAACTGGATTACTCCTGCATGTTTTGTACGAGCAATTCAAGATGCAACATTGCCTGGTTATTATAGTAGACTTATCATATCAGGTAAAATTATTTAAGCCAGTTCCACCATCAAAGTTTCCATTTTATCTACGGAACACATAATCTGTATTTATTCAAATGCTTAGTAGGTTGTTAATGGATCTTCCAACCTTTGTTATAGTTTTTAAAAAGATCTTTGAAATCACCAGTTTTGCTGGGTGTTCATAACTAGCGTTACTACACCGTTCATTTCGAATAAATCTTCGAAGAAAACCAAGAAATGTAATAGCTTTTTGAAGTATCTCAGCTACAGTTGGCAGCAAATGATGGTCTGTGTTTAGTTTTTAACAGTGTGTTTTCATTTGCGAAATTTAAAAACATGAAATGTCGTATGCGCTGGCGTTCGCGGTGGCTTAACGATGTCACTCAATGCACGAAGGTTGAACTAGCGTCGAAAAAAACTCGAGCCAATTCACAACAGCGTTACTCAATTGTTAATACCGACGTGCGTTCGCTCTTCAATATCACCAAAGAGGGTGAAATTTACACAAAAACGGGTCTCGACCGCGAAAAAAGAGCCAAGTATACGTTCACGGTGATGCTCGAAGAGCGAAGACCAACAACCAAAGTGGTACGATGTATTCGATTTTAAAAATATAATATATATATTAATTTTTTACGATTTAAAAAAAAAGTATATTATTGCTTGCGATTCCGTGAACGTGCGGTCGTTTAGTTTTGTACGTGTCCATTCTGTTACGAAGAGAGCTGCACGGACTTCCTACAGGCATCGCAATAATACATAGCACCTTGCATTTTGCAACGACAGACGGTCAGCGAGGTTAGCGTGGATGTTGTCGACGTAAACGACGAGATACCAACGTTCTCTCAAAACTATCAGGGATCCATTCGTGAAAATTCTCCGCCTGGAACAACTGTCACAATCGCAAGTATTCTTTTATCGTATAATAGTAATTCTAAAGAAACTGTTCATAGGAGCCCCAGATTTTCGCCATGACAACAACTTGATGCAAATAACAGAGATCGTAATTTCAGGGAATTTGTTAAGTTGTGCAGCCTCCCGAGTGAGTGTCCTAAAATTGACTTTTATAACTATCACTGTAAAATGTTTCCTTTTGTTTTCGCAAATACATATAAAGATTCCGTAGGCGAGTTTTCAGTTTTGTTTCGAAATACACGTAAACACTCTCGTTATGTTTACAAACGGAAAAAAGAAGAAGAAAAATGCGCACAAGACTGAAATACAAAGCAGCATTAAATTAAAATTAAGTAAATTTAACTTCACTTATAATAGTACAGCTCTCAGAACACCTTAGTGAAAAAATGATGTTGAACTTGTAAGACTACAATCTAAGAATCTGTGTGCATAATAAAAAAATATTCGCCATATATTACACGTTTTTTGACAGAATATCTATATTATGAATAGGAAAAGAGTGCGTATTTACTCAACATTAGCTCACTTGTTAGATGACAGGCGATAGTAAATACGCTCAATTTTCGCTTTCGTTACTCAAATATTATATGAAAATGATTTTGACGTTCGGATTTCGTCATATTATTGTATATTTAAAACAGCTTGTCAATTTTCGCCGTTCAGAAGAGGTCTGGATTTTTCTTTATTTTTAAAAAAGAGAACTCGGTTCATAACTGAGAACATTTGACTGTTGTACGTGGAACAATATCTGTATTTATATCAATATTTAAGCCGCTGCCCGTTTTAAAAATTATTACTGTTATTTTTGGGTTGCTTTACTTAATTCTGTCAACAAAATTCATTGTGCAGAATTCAACAGATTGGCCTCCCTGCCTGCCTCAGCTAAAACCAATGGGCGCATTTCACGAACAATTACAGCATGCAATGATTGCGAGGGAATTTAGTACGTTTTTTTGGTTAACGATTACAGAAGCCTGCCATTCATGCTGTGGATAATGATGCTGGCAATAACTCGCTTGTGAGCTATTCACTGAGCGGCCCCGGAGCAGAACTCTTTTCTGTTCTCGATAATGGAGCGGTTATTTTTACCGGGGGCAGTCCAGAGAACATTGCCACTCTCGATCGTGAGTTGACGGAACGGTATGAACTGCTCGTAACCGCTCGTGATCGTGGAAATCTAAGCTCGTCGACGTACCTTACCATCCGAGTTGAAGATGAAAATGACAATGCACCAGTGTTCCAACATGGCCCATTAAAGGTTCTCCTACCGGAAACAGCAAGACCAGGTGCTCGAGTCGCCCAAGTGCAAGCCATTGACATCGACGAAAGGGGAACAGCGAACTCAAAAGTCGACTACTCAGTTACAGCGGGTAGGCCATTTCAACAAGATATAACCTCTTCCACTTATATGTTCCAGTTTTCAGTGATTAAGTCTATTGTTAAAAAAGCAAGTTTGTGCGTCTACAGCTGCGAAACTTTAATTACGCATCTAGCAAAGACCTTCTGAACAAGGAGTCTCGAAGAATAAACATTAACCATTTGTCTCTCGCTTATTACCAAAGTGGTTTGTTTTTCTATTATTCCTTTTAATATATTGCAGGTAAACACAGAGCTTTTATTAGTATGTATAATTTCTACATGATAATGATGTAATTAACTGCTGGTGAGGTAAATCGTTTCTAGTACACCACTTGAATGAAATCAGTGTTCCTCTATGCCGCTATCTACAATATCACACATAATACACGTTCGAATGGCTTAGGGATCTATTATTTATCTATACACCATCCAACAAAAGGTTATTTTAATAAGCCGAGCATCTGTGATTAGCGGGCGTTATGCTCCTACCGATCTCTGCCTCCAGTCTTGCTCGCTAAGTCGTCGATAAGAAATGGCTACATTAGTTGTCATTATATTCTAACATGTTTTATCAGAGCTCAAATACTAAAAATATCTCCACAGTAAACTATGAATGAATCTTCAGTTATATGTATACTGTTCGCAAACGTGTTATTAAGGAAGAAAGTATTGTATGCTTTGTGCCCACCGAAAATACGGAAATATGGCGTTTTTATCATTCATGTTAACATTTAACCATTTTTGGAATGAAACATGTCTAATTCTTAATTATTTGATATCAATCGTTTGTGACGCCTTTATCACAGCGTATGATTAATGAAGTAAACCATCTTTGCTTAGGTACATTAAACAGATTTCTGGTTTTATCCGAAAATTGGTCCATCAGGCGGCTAATTTCGTCTATTAAGATACTTAATTATTTAATTAATTAAATCATTTTTATAATACTTTTATGATACTGAATTATTCATACGAACATCTACCAATTTTTGTTAGATTTTTAGTCGTGCGCTATTCTCCCCGACATTTCTGTAGGTGGAAGTGGCAACATTCGGATTGATAGACAAAGTGGAGAGCTCTTCGTGGTTGGAAGCCTTAAGCCTGAGTCTGTGTATAATCTCAACATCACTGCCTCCGATGGCAAGGGACTTGCCAATGTTATCCAGGTACGGCTTAAATCTATAATAAACAACAAGATCTGCTGTCAATGAGCAAACCGATAGCATTTCCTAAAAGAGGTAACGTGTAACGATTCAGATTATAGATTGAATTATTTCGATTTTATATTGATAACGTTTTGTCATAAGATCCTGTTAAATCAGATGCGGGTGGCCAGAATTCTGCAAAATAAAGGTTCGAACTGACCTAGAGCGCAAGTTATGGGGGAAGGGTGCGTGAGTCCAGCGGAGCCAAAGTCATCCGTCGCAATCAAGTCCTAGATCGCTTTGAGTTGGCTAATTTTCGACACACCATTAATGCAGATTACTCCTTGTGTATGAAACAGCATGTAACCCTACTTTCTCATTTTCCCCATTTTTCAATTTCATTAGCGCACACTTTTTACGATGTTACTATATACACCATTTGCTATTTACTAGTATTTATTTCATTTCTTTCAGTATAACGGTTGGCACTTGTGTATCACTTGGCGTGGAACGAAACTAATGAAACTAATTCTATGCGCTATGTCTAGGTAAATATCACGGTTCTAGATGTCAATGACCATCAACCAACCTTCGTCAAAAGTGAGTATAACTTCAGGATCGAAGAAGGAAATTACCGTGAAACCAAACGACGCCTGGGGGTTTTACGTGCGGTGGATGAGGACAAGGGTCAAAATGGAGCCGTCGACTATGCTCTTCTTGTTGCCAAGGTAATTAGTATAGTTTATATATGAATATAAAGAATTCATACAGTCTGCATGGTGTCAATAGACCTTAAGTGCTCTTCTATGCAGCACCATGCATATCATTGACTGATACATTTGTCAGTAATTTACTAAAAATGTCAAGAAAGGTAGCTGCGACTGAAATGAACATGAATAGGTTGAAGTGGCCTGTAAAGCTTCAACAAGCCAATCGTCTAAGAGACACTTCGAAGGCCACAAGACGAAAGACAAATTCGGAGAGGTATGACAGCCCTTTCAAGGTTGCGAATATAAAAGATATATACATTACTGTTCATTGCAGGATGAGGAACAACTGCCGTTCACTATTGATGTCCATACTGGTGAACTTTGGGCTACTGGGGTGCTCGATCGCGAAGCCAAAGCCTCGTATTCGTTCCAAGTTCTGGCTCTGGACAACGGAGAAGTCCCGCGTAATTCTACCGTCGATGTAACCGTCGGTGTTGACGATGTCAACGACGAACGGCCCAAGTTCTTTACTGATCCATATTTGGCTCAAGTCCCGGAAAATCTTGATCCAGGACAGAAAGTTACGCAAATACGAGCGTTTGATCCAGATGCCGGTGAGAACGGCCTCGTCTTTTATAAACTTGGTGGCGGACACGGCAATAAATTTTATATTGACTCAAAGGACGGAACAGTATGGACGTTGAGTAAACTCGACTTCGAACAACAAGAATTTTACAATATGACCGTAATCGCATACGATCAAGGGACTCCTAGCCTTAGTTCAACTGCTAAACTTTGGGTAACTGTTACTGACCGCAACGATGTTGTGCCTGACTTCGCAAAGTCTGTGTACACACTTGAAGTAGCCGAAAACACCAAAGTGGGTGATGTGATCTTTACCCTTGACGCCGGTTCTGGAAATTTCCACTATTCGCTAGTCTGTAAGTATGTTGTGACAACTGATTTTGTTGTCAAAAGAAAATGTCTTACTAAACTTCTTTAAATGGCTTTGCTTGTGACGGAATTCAGATAGCGGAATGTTTATCTGAGAAGCTAGGCATATTTGGCCCAAGCTTTGCCATACAAAATATGTTTTATTATATGAGATCAGTAAGTCAAGAAATGTTTAATATAGTATCGAATAAAGAAATACTAGAATTGTGATACAGAACAATATATGCTGCTATTACTTCAGCTCCGGACGAGGATCAAACTTTCACAGTAGAGCCAAATACGGGTGAGATCCGTTTGGCGAAACCTTTGGATTCAGCGCAACACTCACACTACAAACTTGTCGTGAAAGCTGACGATGAGGCAGAACCAGGACAGTCCCGTTCTGATACAGCAGAGGTCAATGTCATCGTGGGCAGTGGCCAAGGTGTACGACTGTTCCCCCTTAGATTATATGACGTCCTTGTATTCGAAAACCAACTTGCTCCTCAGGTAAAACCAATACATTTCTATGCTTTTCTTCGATTAAGACTATCTTTGTGGCTCTCTGCCATAGTACTGCAAGACCGAACTATCTCTGATCGTTGCCTGAATTAAGTGTAACATTTTCATTTGGTTTGAAGTGAAGGTTATTTTATATCAGAATTTCCTCCAGATGAGAGACACGGTAATTTTTCGGCTGCTTTCTGTTTTGTCATACAATTATAGGTCGGGGTTTTCGTCTTCTTGACTGCTTGCATATTTCAACAAACATACATACAAGCATTAGATGGAAGAGCATAGCTATTCAACTATTCGAGTTACTTCCCTTTTTTAAAAGTTACCTCAATAAATAAGAATTCCTTTAGACAGATATGCCCACAATTCGAGTTTTTCGTGAAGTGGAGTTAATTAATTATTTTTATTACCACGATGGATTATTAATGAAATTTATTTACCACCAATTTAATCAGAAAATACCGCTCCAGCTGTAACATGACATATATATTTATTCTCTGTTAATGCTTGTAATATACACGAATTCTCATATTAGGTTATCCTCGACCTTAATGCTACCGACGAAATAGCGCATCGGCCAGTTGAATACCGAATTGTCGGAACGAACGGTGATTATAATGGACTGTTTTCAATTGAGTCGGACACTGGACGGCTTTCAGTCACCTCGAGCTTGGATCGCGAAGCGAAAGCTCGTTATCTCGTGAAGGTCAAAGTAAGCAACGGTGGAGGTAAGCGGGTAGGAGGCAGGCAGGAAACAAGCGGTAAGACCAAGGAATCTCGGGGCAGAAGGTCTCTATCTCTGGGCTCCCACGGTCGTGGCTCAGTTGTAACAGATCGGAAAGACGAACCTGGTAACGGCGGTGATTTCGACGTAATGCAGCACATCGCTTTCGATGAAACTGTAGTGTCTATTAAGGTGGGAGATGAAAACGACAATTCTCCAGTTTTTGAACACGGTGGAAAGCCGATCGTAGCAGCTGTTCCGCTTGAAGCTTCATTTGGCTATCAGGTAGCTCGGGTGCGAGCTCGTGACGCTGACACAGGAAGCAATGGAGCCATTCGGTACGAGATTGTACCACGTTCGGAGGATGCGTCAAGCAAGTTCCAGGTTGATCCTCTGTCTGGGATAATACGATCGGTTGTTACTTTCTCCCTCGACGGCGGAAAGGTAGTTTATAAATTCATCTGTTCCCTTCATGAGAGGAGAATTTAGTAGTAACCCAAAAAAAAATCAATTTTATTTTTAGGTACTTATAAAGAAGACCCCATTGTTGTTGGTTCTTATTTTGCAGGGTTACCGGGCGTTTGTAAAACGAAAAGAAAAAGTCGGAAAAAGTATCGTTATAGTACTAACACATTTTCACTTCCCGACGCCATATATCTATCTAATCAATTTGTAGTTTCGATAGTCTTTCCAGTTTGTATTCACAACTGCGTTTAAGTTATTTTTAAAACAACTTCCTAGTAAATTGGCAACGGTTTATTTAGCAATAGGTACGAGTGGTGCAATGTTTACATGTAGTGCTGTTCAGATTCAAATACGCTTGACATTAAAAAAATCCAATGGACATGCATTTTATCCAAGAAGAAGACTGAACAAACTTCAAGTATACCCGTCTCTAACGTAGCCGCTGGTTTCTATATCAGGTTTATATATATATATATATATATATATATATATTATATAAAAGCCTTAATTAAACTTTTCTGGGCATTTGTGATTTATCCTAAAGCTCTCCTGACTCTTCCTGCCGTAGATCAGCCGCGTTGGCGCATCAAAGTGCTGCTTTTTTTTTAAATAAAATTCGCCTTTATTAGAGCCTTTATTGTTCACCTGAGCAGATTATTATACAGCAGGACGTTTCCATTGGCAATTTATATTTTTATAGTGCATTTGCATGTATATTAAACATTAGGAAAAATACCTTAAAAGATAATGTAAGACTATAATTTGGAAAAGAAATATGTAATTTATTATCATATAAAGTAGCATCTGTTTTAATGTCGAGCTACACATTTTCTTGCGCTGGTATATTCTGGCTGTCACTTTAGGTATTACCTAGTTCCTTCATATTTTTGCTCCACCTTGTAAAATGTTGTAGCAAGGTTCTTAGTTCTATGTATTTTTAATTGTAATAATTTTTAATAAATTATCGGAAATTCGCTGATGCATTCGTCCGCCGACAAATCCGTAAACTATCTTGCGGATGTGCATTTCATTAGTATTACCTAAAATAGGCATGCATGACATTCACCTCTGTTTTGTTTTTGTTTTAACCGAAGCTCTACACATTCGACGTACGTGCGACAGATCGCGGAGGTGCAGAGGGCGGTAACTCCGCCCTTATATCTTTGTTAGTGCATGTCCTTCCTGAAACGAAGCTTGTGCTATTTGTGGCAGACACTCCGCCAGTTCTAGTTGAAGAACACCTTGACCGTATCCTTGGTTATCTCTCTAACGTTACTCATAACTTTGACGTCAAAATGGCTAAGCTTGAGCCACATCATGAAGATGATGCAGAACACCCAGACTCGTGAGTGTCTCTATTAGTAAAATGAGTTATTTTATAGTTTTAAGTTGTTTACTTTGCACAATATATATTAGCTTTTTTTTTTTTAGATCTTTTATCTCTTTTAGATCACACATGATAGGAGCATCAAGGCAGTCATAGTATAAGCTGTCAACGCTCTTACTTGGACCTTTAGATTAAAATAGATCGAGATAGAAAACCGCCATGTCAACGGGGTAATATAAAAAGGCTGAACCTGGACACAGCATGTGAAGGGTTAATAGTATGAAATTGAAGAGTGCTCTACTTCGGCATAGTGAATTTAAGTTTAATATGATTCATCTTACGTTGCACGTGGATTTTTTGAATATACTTTTGCGTACCATAGTAAATATGGCTAATGTGTTTCATAGGACAGTTGCTAACGTTAGCTCGCCTTGTGTTGCAGATCCGATCTCTTCCTATATGCTATTGACAAAAGCACAAACGAAATTGTCGATACGGAGACCCTTCTCAAGTAAGCTTTCATATTTTATGATTTACTTAAACGTCGACACATAGTCTACAAGTGTTAGGTTGTGATAGAGAAAGGGAGCAGAAATTCCTTATCTGCACTCGCTGTTTAGCAAAATGTTTTTTACGTGAGAAAAAGCTAAGCAGTTGCGAGAGTGCCTTTGACCCTGAATACAATTGTATTAACACAGTGGGGCGGTAAAGAGCAAAATACCAAAGCAGATTTTTCAGTTTGGTTTTGTCCCATGTATAAAGAAATTTAGGAGGCGAATCCACCTCGTTACAACAATTAAGTATGGAGAAAAGACGAACGACTATAATTAGGTGGTATGTTTTAATTGTAGAAACTTCATTATATCTGAAGAAGAAGATTTAAAATTACTTATTACCGTTTCATTTTTGGAAGTATCCACTGTTTGTGATGTATGCTCGTTCTCTGAAACCACCTATATCACTCAGAATGTTTTTTGTACCTTAAAACAAATGGTTTATGACATAGGATAAGAATAAATATATAGCGACTAAAAAATAATGGTCATCGATTAATGATAGTACTTCCTCGACACTTTTTTTTTCGTTTTAGAGGAACGAATAGATACCTCACGGTTTAGAATATACATGATATATACTTAAGAGATGGTACAAAATCATTTTCCCTTTGTTTCAAAGCTAAAACCACTGTTCACGGTAAAAAAAATTTCAGTTCACTTATAGGAATATTGATAGCGCCGTTCAGTGATCTCATACTTAATTGTACGTAAGAAGTGATAGAACAGCATCATTGTGAAGATCCGGTGAATGCTTGGTATTAAAAGTATTGTTTTCTATTGGTTTGAAAATAAAGGAAATAATTATACAAACAATTAAAAATGTTTCACCTTTCACAATTATCGTCGCCTGCAACAGTGCGTTCAACGAAAATTCAGCAGTAATAGTGCGGTATTTGGATTCGTTCCGTATTCGTCGAATCCAGGGTGTGTCTGTCCAAGAGAAGATCTCTCAGATGGGAACAACTGAGATCGCTATTATTGCATTGTCTTCCGTCATTTTCCTCGGTGCCGTTTTAGGCATCGTCCTTCTGTGTTCTTCTTGCCAACGAAAGTTAGTATTAACATAACTTGCAAAATATAAGTTCATTTTACGATTCCAACAAACCTAGATACTATGACGCCAAATTATGCTGACCTAGGTTGTAGCTACTACATCAGTATAACATTTAGCTACGTAAAGGTATAGATTGAAAGATTGATTTTATTTACTTTACTGCAACAGAACTTAATGTTTACGACAATTTATTTAAGGAACACCGTATTAACATGTCGTAGCCGTTGCTTCGACACCTATTGAAACTAACTACGTCGTGGGTCAAAAGCAAAAAATTATATTCCCAGTTCCCTACGTTTGGCTCAACCGTACGATAACTCTTGATTCCTTTATATTGTGCTGATTCCTTTGCTTTCTCTTGTAATGATTATCCGTGGAAAAGTATAACAAGAGAAGTAGCCGCCGTAGTGGAAAATTATTAATGGTGCCTTTACGTTGTTGTTAACTAACGGTTAAAATGCTTCGAAGAAAATGTTTTACTATGGTGGACCACCCTACTTACGTGTTCGTTAATAATAAATCTCCTCGTTGTTAACTGCGCATATTAAAGGAAATTGCGCAAACGCCAAAAGTCATGGGAACAACAGCGCTTGTACTCGATCAAAAACCCAATGATAGGCGCAGTTGGGTCAATGGGTGCCATGAGCACCGCACCGAAAATGATGGTCAACCCAGGATATCGGTCAGGCTCACGACTAGCCGCACATTCAATTGCTTCATCTCGACCCCCATCGCATATGCACTTCCATGGATCGCAGGGTCAACATCCGCACGACGACGCCCCGTAAGCTGATCTTCTGTACAGTTATAAGAATATGTTTACAGGTTGAAAAACGTTAGGCTTACAGGTGAGCAGTATCAAATAGACGTAGTGCTTATTTTTCTAAACTGTTAACCTCCTTTTTGCTTTGCCTCATTTTGTTAACTGTAGATGTGCTTTCGTCCGCACCTGCATATGCTCGGTAACAATCGTTCAAAATAAATATCTTTTTCTAATTTCCCATTGGTAGACTAAAGCGACACGTACACAACATTTTGTATTTTAAATCGCATCTTACTGCGACACATTTTGTGTAAAAGTTTGTTGGATTACAACAGACTAGTGAAAAAAAGCATTGTAATTACTGTCGTGTGTTACCCTAATGGACAAAACGCCACCCCTGTATCTCTGATTACGCTACGTCTATAATCTGAAAATGTGACGGAAGGCTTATTTCCGATGTTCCTAAATTTTGGCTAGTACAACAGGTGTATGCGAGTATTGCTTTCGTTTTTTATTATGTCACCATCGTCTTACCTTAAAACGTATGTTGAAACGACGTAGATAACAACATTGTAACACGTTTGCGAGCGTACGCAGTAGGAAGAGCTAAGCTTGCAATTAAACATTCAATTCTTTTGACGGTATCATTACATATTTCTAGATGTAGATTTGCGTATAACGCCGTTCCACAGATCCATGACAAGTTGTTCCAATCGTACGGATTAGAAAAGTTAAAATGAGTAGCTGTGATGCTACTCTAAAACGGTTCACTTTTACTCATTGTTCTACTGTAAAATACGTCGCTGTCTTAAAATTGCTACTTTGATTAACCAGGAAAACCGGTTTCAATAAAGCGTACTTGACAAGGGAAAAATGTTTCAACTTATTTCCCTTGTCCTCAAGTATTTTCAACACAACTTAGCCTTTCTTGATGCTTGCTAATAAAGAAACATGTGATTCTTCCGGGGTTCCTTTATAAAACATTTGTTGAATACGAAACAGTTATTTTTATAACGAATATATTCTTACACGATGTTTTACACAACAACTTTTTCCTGATATTGACATCGTTCAGTAGTTTTGGTTCACTCCCGTATTGCGCTAACACATATAAATCTACCTTAACAAATGTGAGGGCATACATATAAGAACTTAGATGTAACATAACAAATGCGTATTCCTTACAGTAGGCTTAATGGCATATATCTTGAAGGACGAAGGAATAATAATTTTGTCTCCAATAGAATCATAGGACTTCGTTCTGTCATAGAAGCTTAAATTCACGTAGAAGTGAGCCCTGCTTGTCTTTGTCCATATATTATTGATAGTGAGCGAAGCAATATTTGTAATATACATTCAATATATATATATACATTTCAAAAGAAACATAGGCATGTTCCAGGGTAATAAGTGCGGCTACGAAAAATTGCAACTTTGTGCCGCAGTTTTTGTAGTACGCTTTCTTATAAAGTATATATGCAAAAGTATTAGATAATTATGTTACTTTCGTACACAGTTTTTATGCAGACAATTCGCAGCTGACACGAAACGAAATGCGTAATGCTAGATTCATCAGTAGCCAGCGTCAAATAGGGCGCTGATTTTGTAGTTGAATTATGGAGAACGTTTTTCCAAACCTTTTTTATTTAACCTCCTAGCTATCAAGCAAATGTTATCCTTCGTATTATATTAAATTCTCCCCTGTGTTTTCCTTTCTTCAGTGAAAGAAAACGTTTGTAGGGAAGTGCAGTTTGTTAAAAAATCAGCTTTGTGCTGCTTGCGTAAATCTTTCGATCTTAAAAAAAGCACCGTTTTAATGCCCCTCACCTATGTTAGGTATTTCCTATACGGAGATGTAGGTGTGCGTCACTAAATGCCATTTAGTTTGTTTTGTCTACTAGTAGAAAATTGCAAAGGAGATTACTCTGGTCAAGCCAGTTCATTCTAACATCGAGGTTCGCTTCTCGTTAGCCCATTGCCCTATTGTGGGCATTGTACTTTAAGAGAGCCTTGAGTACCTCAAAAACGCATTGGGTATAGTAGATGCTCGAAGCAGAAACAAAATCGGACCCCTTTTTCCTTGACCTCCTGCGATAATATTTGAAGGCGTCTTACTGCCTCCAGTAGGTATATACTCTAACGCGCGTTATGAATCTCCTGCAAAAAGACCCCACTTTCAACTATGTTGTCTGTTTCAACAAGCCTAAAGGCCTAAGAGTTTACACGATTTAATTTTTGCAAACAGGGTGTGCACTTCCTCAAATTTGAGGCTGTTGCGCCTCAAGACTGTTGCGCGATTTGACTGTAGAGGCTGTTATGTTAATTCTGAATTAGAGCTTACCTTACACATAATGCGTGAGCTTGAAAAAAAGTAAGGCAGAAATTGCAGGTCTTGTAATTTAGTAAACATAAAAGATCGGCCATCCGAACAATTATATGTACATCCAGATTTGCAGGATCTTCATTTACAAACTTCATGACAATGCTGCATTGCGAAGCAATAGCCTTCTACAAATATAAAGGCGAACGTCCGCTTTAAACTCAGAAGATCTGTATGACCACAGGCCTCCTTCGACAAGAAGTTAAACTGCTATGGTTAAATTGGTCGTTACTTTTGTCATGGTTTTTAGAACACCACTATTTTTCAGTTGTGTTACAGACATCTTCCTTCATAATTTTTCAGATTTTCCGTGTCTGGTTTTCTAGCATAAATCCTAGAAATGGTGAAAAATTCCAGTAGACAACATGTGTTCGATAACCCAAGCTGCATCAAACCTAAAATGTCATTTATCTCAAAAATGATAATTATTCTGGGTCGCTTCAGTAGACGCTTATGCGTTCAGCCTTTGATCGATAAGTATTAATGAGATTTTAAAACCCGTTTGAAAAATTTTTATTCTATTTGATTTCATTCGAAGAGTTGATCATTTATCATACAAATGATAAAAATTCAAGGAGAGATTGCATTTAGATTTGAATAAAATATGCTTTTATATTTTAATAAGGCAGCTTTCCACTCACAATTTTGTTGTTTTTGCGAGAAAATTAGCGTTTCATAGTAAAGAGCGATTTACTTTTTTAAACGGAGCAATTTTCTGTTGCAACACTGCAGTGCGAATCTACAGCACTTTTTTAAAACTGAATGCAGGCCTAGTTTTTAAGCAAATTTGACTAGTTTTTCCCGTACAGCTCGTCTGCCAGACGATTCGGCAATAAAATTTTATGCTGGAAGTCTTACTTTCCTTTTCTATATATGTATATATATTTTTCTAACGGAAAACAAAATATTTCAGTATGGACTACGATGAACAAAGCATTGCGGGTACTGTCTATTCCACCAACCGAGGCCTCCCTGGTCGTGGCTTAATGAGTAAACGCAACTTTGCTCCAGATGGTGCCTCAACCTTAAATCGGCCTCGTAGCCCTCGCTATGAACCAAGCGTGCGTGGAGGCTATGCAGGCTCGCAGGTCGGTGCCTCCAGCCGACACGGTCATGATGATGGTTGGCTCGATGAGGAGGACGACAAGTAAGTCCAAAAATGTAAGAGCTCGCTCCAGTACCAAGCGCCTTTTTAGATACTTTATATATAAACAAATATGAAAAACTGTTATATATAAACATTGCCTTTGTTTTCTATTCCTGTTTCATTTTGCTTTAATTTCATGTCTAGCACGATAAAAGGACATAATAAAAAACTGATGGAATTTTAGTGAAACATGTGAGTTGCATAATTAGAATACTACGGATGTATGGGGCCGCAACTGCTTTGTCATTGGCACATCGGTACTCGTATATGTTGACAAACTTTTTAGCTGACAGCTTGCTTTTTTAACCTGATGTTTGACACGGTTAAAATAAAGTTATCGTTTTAATTTTTTCTCGTTGCTAATGTTCTTTACCATCCTTTATTGAGCCCCAATACAATACCTACCATAGTAGCGGATAATTTCATCGGTATTATATAATTGAAGATCTCACACGGGCAATTTTAGATGGTCCCATACAGCCGGAATTATCAGCGTCAAAAAATTCTAGATCAAGCAGACTAAAGCTAGTACTAAAATATGGTTGTAGTTTTCAATAATCTCACCGACTTTGACGCAGCGATTAAGATAAACCAGCTTGAATACTAACAAATTCCTCATTTGAGCCTTTGAGAAATAAAATGTATTAATGTATATAATTAAAGGGAATTACAAGAAAACTATTATGGTTGTTATCGCTAGTAAAATACGAAGCATCTATATTTTGCCATGTTTAGCTTGCAGCTTGTTGTTCTTTAAAGCCCGCACCTACATCATCTAGTTGGCTGTTATTACGCGATATATATAACTCGTTAAGTCATTGGTTCAATGTTGGGTCTCAAGACATATATGGTTCAATACAAGATTTGGTATGTCCGCCTTTTGGATGCATGTATTTTTTCAAGTGGCTCACCGTTATCACTTTGGTTATTACAACATTGTTGCTTGCGAGGACGTTACACAAATCAGCCATGAACCTTGCCTCTATAACTACTAATACCATTTTTTATGCTGTCCCTATTATCTGGTCTATTTTTGCGTACATTTAACCCCATGACAGATCGGAAAGTGACTCAAATTGCTCCTCTTGGGGAACGTCACGCCGCCGAGAGAAGACCGAACTTTGAGGAAGTATACGGCGAACGAGGAGTTCAACAATAATAAGGACTCATGCGTAGGAATGCCTAATATCTTCTGTATGCTTGATGTTTACGAACGATAGAAAAAGCTTCTAACAGAAATGTCGCAACGCATGGAAACAGGTTCAACGGAGGCACGATATATTGCTTCACTTAAGGAAACTTTCACATTGATGTAACACTAATACGAACAATATTAATAGAATAATAAGATAATGGCACGACAACTGACAACGTTAGTTACCGAGTAGCTACCGAGGAGCCCAGATCTTCTATCCAAAAATTATCCAGAAGACATTTTTATGCTTAAATAACCATTAATTATGAAATACTACGACATCTACGCCATTGTGTGAAAGCTGACATGAGTAGATACAGTAGCAGAAGAACGTGATCCAAACGTGTCTATTGTTACAAGCAATATAATTACACAAACAGAAGTATTACCACACAAATCTGCCACAGCGGATCATTGGGCCATCAGATGCTTCTTTTCACTCAAGTGCCTTAACGATAACACGGGATATATATATATACATAGTACGCAAACGAAAATGATGATGATGATGAAAAATAGAGAAGATTATCAATCTTTATACACTCCAAGAGAAAGCAACTAACAATATGGTAAGTCAGGCTAACAGGAAGAAATAAACTGCTCTACCGGACATCGAAGCGTCAATGGATTTGATGCATCAGCGTTTACATGGCGCACTACCCGGCGCTCCACGGAATGATGAAATGATCAGTAAGATAGGAAGTCATAGTAATGTATAGTTTCTCTAGGTGGTTTGATCATTTCCATAGAAGTTGCATCTTTACCGTTTGTGGATTTACTTTCACGCGCCCTTGCTACATCGTTTTCCTCTTGCATTGCAATCTAAATAAGATCTTGAGTAGAATCATGTTTTAGAAGTGTTGCAGTCCTAAGTCAAATGTCAAGATAAACAGCCTTAACAGCATGCGTTAACCGTCCTTATAATACGTCTTCAATGAGAGACGTTGAGGCGTCACTACATCAAGTCACGGTCAACGAGTTTGTTGACGGAGCTCCCTTATACGAATTCGTCCCAATTAACTAGTATAGTTTCATTTTCATCTCAACCTTTATGAAACGGAAATAAAATTCAATCCTTGATACCAATATTACACATCCATCCCCTTTATCTACAGACAATGTCTGCTGAACCGCTACAAAGAGCATTATCAGCAGTAGATAGAATTGACAGACAAATTTGTGTGGAATACCATTAGCGCGCTCACCGAACTCTCACCTCTTAACTCACGATGACAAAACAATATAGTAGATTCCGAACGAATATAGTCGACATATAATGATGAATACTGAGTCTCCCCCTTCGAACCGAGCTATAATTATAATATAGTTAGAAACTGAGGGTGAAAAACTCTCCAGAAGCCCATATCAGCGGGACGCATTGAAATAGTCTATGCAGCTCCATCGAATGTTTTTTATATCGCTCAATATTTAACAAAGATGGTGAGGCAGAACTCTCAATATTCACAGAGTGCATAATTGGAAACATTCAGTGATATATTTAGCCCGTCGCACGCCCGGACACCCACTTGGAAATGCGATAAATGCTAGTGATTGCACTGCATCCATTGTTTACAGTAGTTGCTTTCTTCAGAAGATAAAGTTATTCGGATAACTTGATGTTGCTTCTGGTAGCGTGCATAAGCCGTCTGAAACGTAGCGGTAGACTGGTGTATTGGTATAGAACGATAAGCCGCAAGAGTATCTAGTGTTGCACGAAGATTTTTAGAGAACTGAGATCACTGGATTATTTTAGACCCTGCTCTCGGAACGGAATGTCCATATGAACTCTTACGACGGCTTAAAAACCTCAAATATTTTCTTTGTACTTTCATGTTACAAACAATGTCGGCGGTTCTTGTTTCATGTTTTACGCTGATACGTTATCGACAGTCGCATTAAGGCGGGAGCCATATTTGTTTAATGCAGAGCTTCTTGCTATAGTGTGGCCGCACCAGAGCGTCACCAGTTAAGGGTAACAGCCATATTATAACGTTGTTTTTTTGCAATAAAGGTCCCCAAGAACAATTTACTTTTAAGGTATCTGAAGAACAGCTTTGCCACCCGTATGTCACAACCGAGGACTCAACACCTACAGAAACTATCTTACTTTGCGTTCCACGTGGATATAAGAATGTACGTTTTGGTTTTTAGCAACAACCCGTCGCCGGTGTTATTCCTCTGCTGCCACTACTGTTATTGTTATCTTAGCCGTCGACGCCTGAATAATCATACCCGTGTTTTAGTCAATTTCTATTTATAATGAGATCAAGTAGTCGTGTATATATACACACACATACACTCACATCCAACCCCCACACACACACACACACCCACACCAACACACACACACACACGCAGACAGCCAGACACACGCATAAACAATAGCCTGGCAATTAATTCAAGGCAAAACAAAGAAACGATGATAAGCTGTTAATATTATAGACGTTATTATGCTGTTTTGTTTGTTTGTCGAAAACTCCAATGAATTGCACGATATTGAGTATAGTTCGATAGTAGGATCTATATGCTAGGTGATATCTGCAGTAGTTGCCTGCCCCTTTTTCTGTTATTTAACATTGGATAAGTTCAGCAATTACATTGGAATCGATACTGCATGTTTTGAGGGTTGATTTGCTAAGCGTTGAAGAAACTGTGTCATGCAAGTAGCACCCGAATAACGATCATAACCCTATCGCTCGGCGCTAGACTGAGCTTTACCACTCACCGAAAGACTGGATAGACATATTTAATCGCAAATGGCCGATCGACCAAGCGAACCTATGGCAAATTTACGTCGGTATTCTCTACCCTCGCCCACTATACATGTAATAAATTAATGGCGCATACTGTTACATGAGAGCACTGTGTAATGTGATTTTGTAAATATTTTTGCTAAAAGTAACCATAAGCGACGGGCTTCACTAAATAGATTATGTAAAAGGGCAGGAGAGAATGACAGAGGTAAAACATCACTGAAATGGGCCATTCTAAGAATTATCAACATATTGAACAAGTAAAGAATAAAATGGCAGAGTCAGAGAGAAAACGAAAACTTTGAATGAAAAAAAAAAACGAAAAACATTTATTGAAAAAGTCACAAACGAAATAAGGTAAGGAACAAGTCTACGAGCAGTTGCGGATTTTATAAATATCATGACCGTTGCCGGAAAGACGAATCTGCCAATAGACGACCGAAAAGGATATATAAGGAAATCAAATGTTAATAAAATCTATACGTGAACTTCTTGAAACAACGCGAATCAATTGACGTTGTCTTTGTGTTTCGGGGGAAAAATGAGGCAAGCTCGCTGCTACTCTATTCTAACGCTGCTGGATATATATGCTTAAATAGTGGTTCTCCAGAAGCAATTAGGCTGCAGTGATATTAATGCTGATCTTTTGAGCTGGTATTATATAAAAATGACCGAGTACCAGCCACAAATACCAAGGAGTATGTAAAAACTTATTTTCTAAGCAAGAAAGCGTCCTTGTGAACGAGTTAGTAAGGGGCTGGTATTGTCTACTATAAATGATTATTGAATGCCTACTTAGCTTGGTAGTGGTCAGGTTCCTGTAGGCCAAAGAGTGTGAATTCGCACATGTAGTGAGTGATCGATTTTCGTTCGTTCAGTTTCTATGTGAAAACTATGTTGGAAAAAATGCTAAGCTGAAAACGAAGTGTGAACGTACTACAAAGGAAATCAAATAGACAAAAGGCGTTGCAATAGGAGTTTCCTGCTACGGCATCGGTCTTTAAGACCGGATAAGCACGCGCGAATAATTCGTTGTCTCCTTTTGCTTTGCATATGATCCCGTAGAAGTACATCATTATATATACACAACACACACCCACGTTTGAACATAAGCTTTTTCGTTCGGGAGAATCAAAGTTGATCGCGCGACATCTGCACAATCAGGGGGCGAATCTTTTTTTCTAGTTAACTCTGTCGATCGTGTATGGAACATAACGCAGCTTGGAAATTTCTATTAATTATGCCATATATGCTTTAGCAAGCAAAAGATTATACCGCATCTATACTTAGATTGGTACTAACAAAACTGTTTTGACATGCCGGGAGCCTCGTCAGAGTGCAGAATGAGGAGATATCAATAGTTGATAGTGCACAAACTAAATCATGAACAAACCATATAGATTAGGGTATATGCTTTTCCCATTATATGGATGTATCTAGATTAGGGTCAAGGTCTTTTTGAGATCAATAGGCAGGTTAGTGGAAGAAAAAATTATAAAGAGACGCCAACATTTAAGAATTTTAGAAGCAAGTAAGTTATTGGGATTCCCTTTTGCCTTTCAGCCAGTTGGGTTGAGTTCCTGGGCGCATAAAACCCAATGCAAAAAGGAGGCAGGTTTTAGTGGCGCACGTCTAGAGGGATTCGGTTAATGTTTGAAATTACGAACGCCCGATTCTAAAAGAGGTTCAGGCACATGGTGTGGGTTCCCATTAACAATGTTAGCTGCCACAGTGTTTCCGAAACGTCAATTCCTTACGTCGTAGTTTAGTTATAGCAGTAGAATTTCGACACAGATACCTAGCTGCTAGAACGCCAGCGTTTCGTTGCCTTGCATCGTGCGCCCTTCAGATAATCTTAGAGAAGGCTCTCAGACAAACACGGAACTGTGCGGAAAAGCTATCTCAGGGTGCTAAAGCAGCGTCTGTTGGATGAAGCCTGTTCGCAACTGTGCAGTCAACTTCATTCAGGAGCGCTCAGAACGTATCCGGTTGAAATTACCGCCTTCGCCCTACATAAGCGGGCGAGAAAACTGCCCCACACGATCGAGTAGTTTACGTCACCATCTGGAACTTCCTAAAACTCGAACTTTGCGACATACATACTTGGTATTTTGGGGTGTAGGAGACGATGACTGGCATGGCTAGCTTTCGGTGGAACAAGACACCTGATCCTGACCTTATTCAAACCAAGCGTCTCCAACAAGTGCCTTGCTAGATGACTCTATTTAGTATCTTCATGAAAAGTAGCCATCTTCCAGCCGAGTAAAAGAAAGCCGTATTGACACCGAAAAGAAAACGTGGCCCTAAAAATTTAAAGGACCATGCAAACAGGAGCTACCGCTATGAATTACTATCTCGGCTTTTGAGCGATCGCCTCTCGCACCAGCTTGAGCTCGCCGGTACAGTTACTAAATAATATTGCGATTTCCCACCTCGCTATTCCACCTACATACAGAGGCAGCAAGATTTTTTGGAAGATGTCTAGCGAGCCTTTAGCAGCTTGTGCCTATACAGATGTGCAGTATTAATCGATTTCCGGTCTGTCTGCAACGTTGCTTTGAAAGCGCTGCGCTTCTCAAACTTGCTCAGGAAAGAAAGTGCTTGAAAAGCTGCTGGACCTTTTGAAGAGGGTACTGTAGATGATGATGTGGTAGAGCTCGATCATTAGAAGCAAATCGCATGGTTTGCCCATTATGATAGCTTCAGTCCATTTCCATTCTACGTAGTAATCAGCGACCTGCCCACAAAAACTGACGACCCAAAGAACTTTCACTCCAAACAGGGCTGATCCTCTTCGATGTGAAAGTGGCTTTCTGTGCATCATGTGGATTACCGCTTGTATGGTACTACGTTACTGCCAATTAATTTCGCTTCCTTGGTCAAGTGAAGCTACCTCCTGAAGCGCGTCTTTGGTCTCCAATGCTCCAGTAAGAAATAGACTAGTTTACCTACTTCGTAACATGTCACTATTGGTCGAGGAGTTAAAGCGTAAACTAGACGTGAAAGAAACAGAAGCGTAACGGGAGTTTGCGGACGAGCATGAATTGAAATGGGTGATGTCTGCCCGAAATGCTATTCAGTGGGGCAGTGACCAACTCCGCCTGAAAGGATGGTAGCAAAACAAATCTATATGCTGTGATTCAGTACCCGGAATCACAACACTAGTACCAGATACCTGACTACCATGTTCCCAAAGTCAGCTGCTGCTACTTGTTGTACCAAGACGTCTGCACCCTATATCGCACGGAATATTGCTTGTCACTGACTATATTTTTCGTGTACGTTTTCTATATTGCATATTATCCAGCCACCAGCTAGTGTAAATGATAAAATTTATATTTTGTTGATAGGCAGATAATTAACACAAGTGATTTGATACGGTACGCAACTTGATTACTCTGAATGTATTGCTTTTATCTCGATGTTCATTTATTTTATCTCCTTTGTAAGCTAGATTAACTTTTGCTTGTTTTCGACTAGTCTGACGAATGTCTAAATTACTAAGTGAAGTAATAGCCAAAGATAAATGTTATGTCATTAAGACATTGTTTTTGTCTAATTATGATGCGCAGAATTATAATGTGTAAACCGAAGAATTTTTAGGCGCATAAATTTTAAGAGTTTTACTTCCCACCTTGAAGGGAAAATGAGTTGTTTAGCCTTTCACTTAGCGATTTTCTTGTAAAGACAGAGCTGTTACAATCCCGAAAATTTCGTAATTGCTGATCTCCAAACTCATAGATAAAATTTGGAATAAATCCTTATCCCTTTTGGAATAAGTTTCAAAGGGCGATTAAAAAATAGTTAACATTCTTTTTACAGGCTAGAAGTCAAGAACTGTGGCGTATGAATTGTTGATACCCGTTCGCAAAGCAGGCGTCTACCAGAGGAACATTAAAGCGAATACTGTTAAAATAATATGGAACAATCAAGACCAGTCTGTAGAATAAAAAATGAATGATAACGCGCCACGACATTTTACATCTCAGCGAATTCATGGTCCCGGAATCGAAAACGTCGCCATTAAAATTTCACAAAAGCGATCACAATTTATCTATCATATAACTAGTATTGCATTAGTAAAATAGGTTCTGATCGTTCCGCTTTATTACGTGGAAGGTAACGTAACGGTTACCGACCGATGCTTTTATCTGTTCTATGGCTAAACTGTTTGTTGATATATGATAACGTGTGGACTACCTTGCTATGTGTAATATGGGTTTCGGAGAGCTTGATCGACAAAAAGGGCTCTTCACACTTCCGTATCTCTGGGCTTGCCCAACGCGGAGCACACGGCAAATGGCAACGTCATAGCGAAGGTAGTTCTCGATGCGACCATGACCCTCGATTCGCTTCGACACTGCTTACTTCCTCGGTAATAAAATGCTTTGAAAATCCTTGTAGAAAAGCAACATTTCCTGTTGTTATGCCACAGAAATTAATGTTGGCACAATTCTATTTTGTTGTCCTTATTTGCGAGCAATATGCCATCCCGCATCTGGAAGAACTGTCTTGTTTGTTAATGATACGTCGTTTGTGGTTCGGGTCCTTAAGTATAGCGGTCTGAATGACCTAGACCAAATAAATGGTGCGCCTTACAAAACTACTGCAGAATTTTTTTTTACCGTTTTGATTTGGTTTCGATGTAAATGAAAAATAATAGCCATTTTCAGATCTACCTGTCCTAACGTAACTGTTAAAAGAGATGGTGTAAGGCTTAACTCTAGTGCACAGGAACTTTAGCGTCGGCCTTTGTCTTCAGCGTTTTTTTATAGAATAAGACGAAACCAGCATATCAAAACTATAGTAGAAAAACGTGTTGTTCTTTTATCGCTTGACGAGGGAAGCTCACCTAAATAGCCAGACCGAATCATGTTGAGATAAATTTTAAACAGCGAAAACGAGGGAGGAAATACCCGTCTAATAGCATAAGAATGTTTACAAACATGCATTTTCGATTCAATGCAACACGTTAAAGCGTTAAAAAATATTAAGTACAAAAACAAATTACTATGGGATGACTGATGAAGTATAACAAGCTCTAACTATCGGAAAATTGAAATTATATGAACTTTATTCACCTGTGTCAGGTAATGCTCAAGGGTTTACAGATATATAAACATAGATATAGCAGTTATAATCATTTAACGATTCATACCACTTTATTGAAAATATTTTACCTCTTACTTTAGCCTCACAATATTAGGATATATTTTTGTCACTTTGCTGGATTTTTCGGTACGTGTACCTGATATAGCGGATATTGTACTGCATGGTATATTTCATACACAAAATGTGCGAAGTTTTTGGTAGGTTCGTGAAAACCCGATTTAA